CCAACTATACACAAAAAATCTAAAAATAGTACTTTTCCTATTTTTGTGCTCGCGGAGCAACAACTATATTTTTTGAGAAATTATAATTTAAATTTTGATGGATTTTTAGAAAATTTTTTTATTCACAAAATTCCATCTCTTAACCGAAAAAAATCTAAATTGATATACCGTAAACACTCTAGTAGAACGCCACCCGGACCGACCACTTTGAGCCTATATATCTTACTTCTTTTGAAAGATATTTAAAAGTTGTCAACTAACAAAATGTTTATCATGATATCAGCAACATTTTATTAGTCTACCACTTTTTGATATCTCTCACAGAAAATGAGATATATGGGCTCAAATTTGACTATTTGGGTGGCGTTCTTTTCGAGTATTTACGGTATTCTCTTCTTATGTGCTCGCGGAGCAACAAATATATTTTTAAGGTAATGCGGTACATATGCTTGAAAACACTTTGCGAAAATATCTTCAATTGCAAAATTCAGGAAATTCCAATTCTATAAAAAAAAGTCAAAATTCGTTTTTTTTTTCATGTTTTTTTTGTGCTCGCGGAGCAATAACTATTTCTATCGTCACTTTAATTTTTATTCAGGTACTTATTAACTGTGCACTCCAATACAATGGCTTCCCATTTTTGGGTCCTCACAGCGCCTTGATTCCGCAGATATGGGATGTCATGAGGGAGTTTGAAGCTGCTGATGGTACATAATTTTACTTTTATATAACTTTTGCAAATTGATTCATTTCAGATCTACTTCGGAAGCGATCCCGTTGCTTGAAAGACTTCTACTTAATGTATGCCTCCAGCAATTGTTCCAGTTCATCATTTCGGAAACTCTTCTCGTCGGGCATTCGCTGGAATCGGAAGTATTGTCGAATTAAACAAACTCACACCTGAAAAATATTGCGGGCGCTTCGTGTCGATTTACGAGGCCCCGCCTAAAATCGGCATACTGTACTGAAAAAGTTAATTTATGTGAACTCAATGATTTTCTGAACCGAATTTAGATTTCTTGGTAGGAAAATGATCGCTAGCATCCGAAAGTCTGTATTATTACGATTTTGCCGCGCTTTTTCGTAGATAAAAAAGCGACAGATTCTCAGGTGTCACTTTTTTAATGAGGCAACATTACACTCGAATATCACGAGATAAAAACAAGAAGAAAAACAATTGGATTTCTTTACACACTTATTTATTGAGGTATTTTTATAACATTTAATAAGACTTCAAGTTTCACTGGCACACTTTTAGAACTTTCCGCTGCACCCATTTTCCATCTTTTTCTTCAGCCGGCTTGGTTTTGTCAAACAAGAAGCACTGGATATCTGAAAATTAAATATAATCTTAGCTTAGTTGTGCGCCAAAAAACTCACCAAATCGCTCAGAAATGATTCGTTTGCCTTCGAACATTTCCTCGTACCGTTCCACGGCTTCTTTTGCGGTGTTTGGCATCTCCGTGACCTCTTGCTCGATTGTCTTCTTTTTGGATTTTTTGAGAACTATTTCGAAACAAATTTTCGTTGACTCTTTTGAATGAATGGAGTCGGAAATGTTCCCCGTATTTTTCTGAAATTTCTGTTTATTCTCTATTTACTCAAGGTCTTTCAAAAATCCTACTGAATGGATTTTGAAAGATTCTTTCTGATTTTTCTGAAGATTTATATTCTTTTATATGCCAACCCAAATAAATGGTAAGTATTGTTTTTAAACTCGAGATTTCATCAAAAATATTGATTTTTCAGGTTATCCAGAAATTGGACTGCTCAGCAACTGGGCAGGCTCCCCATCAGAGTCCAATCCCAGTTGCTCAAGACCCGATTGCCGATCCCCAGCCTCTGGGTATGTATTTTTTTTTGTTCTTAAAATCATACTTGAGATATCAGGATCTAGCCCTGCCGGCCCAAGCTACCCACATTTGAAAAAAAATTTGAATTTTTGAAAAAAGTCCAAATCGGCCCTGCCCGTGGCAAGTATGCTTAAAATTGACTTTGAATTTTTACAGACCCAGAAATAATAAGATTGAGAATGACAAACGACTTACGGATAGAATCGTTGCGCTTCACGACCTACACTCGATTTGTGAGTTTTATGAGAAATTTAATTTGTAAATCATCAAATGAGTTTTGTTTACAGCACCTGAAGATCTTGCTCTTCTCCAAAAAGAGTTAGGAGATGTGAAAGAAGCCAAAACTCGTCTGGAAACCGAAATTTTGGGGCAGAAGCTAGAGCTGGAGAGGTTGAGTAATTTGTTGGTTCAGATGGGACAAGAGAAAATGGCGATGAACTCTGCGAATGTGTTTTTGGAGTGAAAACTCTTGAAGGAGGTGAGCTCGGGTTTCTTTGAAAAGATGAAGAACAACGAATATTAGAATTGGCTCGAATCCAATGTGGTCTGTGAAGAAGTCCAAAAAGAAGACAATCGAGAAAGAGGTCACGGAGATGCCAAAGACCGCAAAAGAAGCCGTGGAACGGTACGAGGAAATGTTCGAAGGCAAACGAATCATTTCTGAGCGATTTGGTGAGTTTTTTGGCGCACAACTAAGCTAAAATTATATTTAATTTTCAGATATCCAGTGCTTCTTGTTTGACAAAACCAAGCCGGCTGAAGAAAAAGATGGAAAATGGGTGCAGCGGAAAGTTCTAAAAGTGTGCCAGTGAAACTTGAAGTCTTATTAAATGTTATAAAAATACCTCAATAAATAAGTGTGTAAAGGAATCCAATTGTTTTTCTTCGTGTTTTTATCTCGTGATATTCGAGTGTAATGTTGCCTCATTAAAAAAGTGACACCTGAGAATCTGTCGCTTTTTTATCTACGAAAAAGCGCGGCAAAATCGTAATAATACAGACTTTCGGATGCTAGCGATCATTTTCATACCGAGAAATCTAAATTCGGTTCAGAAAATAATTGAATTCACATAAATTAACTTTTTCAGTACAGTATGCCGATTTTAGGCAGAGCCTCGTAAATCGACACGAAGCGCCCGCAATATTTTTCAGGTGTGAGTTTGTTTAATTCGACAATACTTGCAACATCGTGATATTTTTTCAAGGAAAAAAGTAGTCAGTTCTTAAAATATCGAAAATGCGATCTACTGGACTGCTCTCAAATTGAGTTCTGAAAATTGTTTCAAATTGTTGGCGGACCTGCGGAGGCATCAAGAACCTCCAGAGTATTTTCAACGTAATTGATTCTATGCAGGTCATGATAGACTTCTGGGTTTGCATCTCTTTCTGCACAGCCAAATTTTGAAGTGACCGTTTTTTGAATTCACCTCTTTGGTCCACGGACATGAATAGGACATATGTATCGATAGCATTTAAGTTTACCAAGTGATAGATCCTTCTCCGTAATTCCAGAGAATGTGATGTTTAAACTGACGATTTCCTATTGTGGAAGAACACATGTATCGAGAATAGCGCGTCCTTTTGTATCGACGAGGCTCACTCTAGCCACTTCAAGGCCATTCATAGTGTGCACCAGCTCACAATCCAAACTATATACCTGAAAGAACACTTTCTGAAATTGCCTAAAAAATGAATTATTTACCTTCTGGGATCTGTGTCTACGACCATACCACCTTCAAAACTGCATGCTTTGAAGGTGATCGCTGCTGATACATCTTTCTCTGTAATTCCAGTGCATGTGTTGTTTCAGCTAACGATTTCATATTGTGGTAGGACAAATTTATTCGGAACGCGTTTCATATCCACAAGGCTCACTATAGCCACCAAGTCCATTCGTATTGTGCACCAGCTCACAATCCGGTCCGTTAACCTAAAAATACTATTTGGAACTGCATTTGAAAATAAATTGTTTACCTTCTTGGAATTATGCCTACGACCACACCACCTTGAAGTCGTGCTTGGATGTCCTGGACGTCATGTGCGAACAAAGCTTCGTTTTGATCGAACTTTTTCCGATGGTGATAAACACATTTTTGGGGAACCATTGTTCCGTATCGATCACATTTAGGTGGGTCTAACGAAGAGCTTTGAAATCCGATTCCAGCGAATGGCCGACAAGAAGAGTTTCCGAACTGATGAACTGGAACAATTGCTGGAGGCATACATTAAGTAGAAGTCTTTCGAGCAAAGGGATCGCTTCCGAAGTAGATCTGAAATGAATCAATTTGCAAAAGTTATATAAAAGTAAAATTATGTACCATCAGCAGCTTCAAACTCCCTCATGACATCCCATATCTGCGGAATCAAGGCGCTGTGAGGACCCAAAAATGGGAAGCCATTGTATTGGAGTGCACAGTTAATAAGTACCTGAATAAAAATTAAAGTGACGATAGAAATAGTTATTGCTCCGCGAGCACAAAAAAAACATGAAAAAAAAAACGAATTTTGACTTTTTTTTATAGAATTGGAATTTCCTGAATTTTGCAATTGAAGATATTTTCACAAAGTGTTTTCAAGCATATGTACCGCATTACCTTAAAAATATATTTGTTGCTCCGCGAGCACATAAGAAGAGAATACCGTAAATACTCGAAAAGAACGCCACCCAAATAGTCAAATTTGAGCCCATATATCTCATTTTCTGTGAGAGATATCAAAAAGTGGTAGACTAATAAAATGTTGCTGATATCATGATAAACATTTTGTTAGTTGACAACTTTTAAATATCTTTCAAAAGAAGTAAGATATATAGGCTCAAAGTGGTCGGTCCGGGTGGCGTTCTACTAGAGTGTTTACGGTATATCAATTTAGATTTTTTTCGGTTAAGAGATGGAATTTTGTGAATAAAAAAATTTTCTAAAAATCCATCAAAATTTAAATTATAATTTCTCAAAAAATATAGTTGTTGCTCCGCGAGCACAAAAATAGGAAAAGTACTATTTTTGAGATTTTTTGTGTATAGTTGGAATTTCTTGAATTTTGACGATGAAAAAAATGTTTACCGTTTTTACAGATCTTGTAAGACCTTCATCAAAAAGAGGAGATTCAAATATAGTAAAAACATCAGTGAACCACAGCAGATTCTAGAGAATGAGAAGCTAAAAACCTGATGTGCTTCAAAATTTTGGATAAACCTAGCCACCCATTGACTTAACGGTCACTAGTATAAAAAGAAAATGACTCGCCTCAAAAAATTTAAACTACTATTTTTTTTCAAAATGAACGTTTCAGTTTTGTTTTCCAAAAAATGCCAAAATTTAAAAAAAAAATACTAAAAAATCAATGCAAGCATTAGTTTTCCCATGACCTTCATCTGGCGGCTTTCAAATTCTGAATCCGCCCAATCTGTTCCATTAGACCCTGCTAATCTTGCTAATGTTATCTTCGCATTTTCTAATTTCTTCCAATAATTTTTTTTCAGTAAAAGAAAAAGATTAGAGCACTCTCTGTTGACATCTACTCTTCCATTTTATTCACTTTTCCTGTACTCTTCGGAGTTTCTTCGCTACTACTCTTCTACAATTTATAATTTACAATTTACTCGTCTCTCTTTTGACATCTCCAAATTTACTCTTCGGTAATGTCAGTTTTTGCAATCTTTTTCTCTAATTCCTGCTAGTTTTTTTAAACATACAATATCCCTCCTTTGGTTCTCTTCGCACCATCTATCACCATCTAATAATTCAAAGAGAGACTAGAACACTCCTTCTTCCCCGCTCTCTTTTTCCCTGAATCCACATGGCGATTGTCCGCCGCGTCTCATCATTGTCCCCCTGATTCGCTGCGTCTCTTTTTTCCTCTTGAAGCTCTGGTCGTCTGCTGGTCAGAGCAGGCGCGTTGGCAAAATCATTTGCAATGTTTTTGCCTGGCGACTTAACTGAATGGTTGCCTAAATAATCCGGGGCATTTCCGTTAACTCCTGTTCATGAATGGAGTTGGAAATGTTCCCCTTATTTTTCTGAGAATTAAACTTATTCTCTATTTACTCAAGATCTTTCGAAAATCCTAAAAATGTATGGATTTCGAAAGATTCTTATTGATTTTTCTGAATATTTATGTTCTATGCGTCAACCCGAATAAATGGTAAGTATCAAAATTTTTAGTCTAAAACTAAGATGTTCCCGAAAAACTGACGGAAGTCGAATAAAAATTATGAAAGTAAAAGTATTTGCTTAATATGTATGTTACTGCCGGTTGTGGTAGCGACCACCAGATTTACTCTTCCACAGCTCCGATTTTTCATACCGGCATTATGTCAAACAGCAAAAACAGTAGATGACTTGGCATGAGGACTCTTAAAGCTCTACGCGTTTCGGAGATCGGGGTTTTTTGAAAACCGAAAAATTTTCACATGTTGTTGAAACCGTTTTTAGGTTACCTCCCATTCATCGTCTTCCGTGTGGCCATCGACAGTCGCTCAATTGAGATGGCGCTCCTTGGCGTTGCGACACTCTCGGGTAGGATTTATTTTATATTTTCCCTTTGTAAATGTTCTATTTTAGTCTCCATCTTTGTTGCTTGCTATACTCGGAACCAAGAGGATCGTCGTGTCAGAGTTAATATTCAATTAATATGTATTATCCTCCAACTTTTGATAAACCTGTTCTGTGACATTTTTTAGTTACACAATCACTGAAACACTAACAAACCTTTATGGGAGTTACAATAAATCCTGACTCCCAGATATATACAAAGTTACAGACAAAATAGTACGAAAAAATGCAGGCCCGGCCCGGGCTTTCCGGGCCGTCCGGGAAAAACCACTTGATGGCGTCTAACTTTGTTCATAAACAAGATAAAATTTTCCAAATAGAATCATTTTGTAGCACTTGTCGAGTTCTATCGTGCTCAACGGGGTCATTCTTGACGGTGCGACGACATTTGCGATGCGTCCGATACGCGAGTTGGGGAACCACTCCTTCGTAACGACACAGATGGAAGGCTTCGGAGTCTGAAAATGTGTTTTGTTTCATTTTGATACAGTTGTTAACAAAAAACTCACAATTCGACAGTTGTTGAATGCCTCGACGCAATTAACTCCAGGCAGGTCATGATTACGACCATACAACGTTAAAGACGTTGGATGAGCTGAGAAGCATGTTCGAATAGAAACTTCGTCTCTTTCAGCAGGTAGATCACAGCCAATTTTTTTGATGTGATAGCTTTTTGAATTCTCCTCTTTGTCCACGGACATGAATAAGACAGGTGTATCGATAATGTTTAGATGGATAAAACGATAGATCCTTGAATGTGATTCCAGTGAATGTGATGTTTAAAGTGACGATTTCATACTGTGGAAGATCATGTATCGGGAACGCCTCTCCTATCCACACGGCTCACTCTAGCCACTTCAAGTTCATTCGATCCGAACCGTCCAGCTGAAAGAACACTAATTGAAATTTCATTTGAAAAAGTATTAATTACCTTTTTGGATCTGTTTTCGTTTCCATTCTTAGCTGCAGGAGTTGGCAGGGAACTCCATTTTGTATCTTCCCAAGCATTGGCAGTAGCAAGACATGCTCACGACCACATCACCTTGAAGTCGAACTTCGATGAGCTGACACAAGGCTGGTATCATTTAACAGTTGTTGAATGCCTCAACGCAATTGATTCCATGCAGGTCATGATAGACTTCTGGGTTTGCATCTCTTTCTGCACAGGCAAATTTTGAAGTGATAGCTTCTTGAATTCCCCTCTTTTGTCCACAAATATGAATAAGACAGATGTGTCGATCACATTTACGTGGATCAAACGAAGAGCCCATTCGAAGAGGGCACATCAGTTTATAAAGATCCTGAAAAAAAGATGAACTGCAGACAAAAAACAGGTGGGCGGATGATAAACGAAAGTGACTAATGTATGTATTTTGACGGTCGAAAATACATTGAGCACAAAGTTTAAAATCATTTTTCTTGTTATGGAATTATTGAGCTCGTTTTTTTTTCGAAATTTTGAAATTTCCATGATTTTATTACGAGAAAAATGTATTGAAACCTATTTCAAATCATTCGCCGTCATTTTTCACCCCTAGAGCAATACAAATTGCAAAAAAAACGCAGCAAATAAAAAAACGGCGAAAAGAAAAAAACAAAAATGAAGAAAAAACGTTGGAAAAAAAAATAAAAAGAGAAAAAAAGAACCGCCACCGCTACAACCAGTAGATCAAAATTTGTAGATCAAAACTTTTCGCTTAATTTCCACCAATTTCCATAAGTTCGTTCTGCACTGTTTGCAACGTAGAATTTTTCTCAAATATGTTGACCATTTAAGAAAACGCGAGAAGCGAAGCAACAAAACTGAAAAAAAAACTAGGTTAACCGAAGGCGCACCAGCTCGCTGGTTTGAATACAAAATTTCAATTCAACGGTACAAAAAATACAATTTATTGAAAAAATGTGTACCCCGAATCATGGATTTTGTACCACTGAATCACTTTGTACCCCCTCGTACCCCGAATCGTTGTACCTCTCGCACGTTTTACTCATTTTAACGAGGTGGTCTAGCAAACTCAACTGGAAAAAGTTAGGCCATCACGTTGAAATGTATTCACGTAATTTATACTCATTTTCCAAGCGTTTCAAAACCGTACAGCGTGACACTAGGATCAACAGACGCGCTTAGCGATTTATATACAAGGAAGATAAGTCGAAAGTTCATGAAGGCTTAAACGTTCTACTCAGCGGTACGAGCAATTCATTTTACCGTCAAAATTATTTTTAAATATTTTTTTGTGCTCGCGGAGCAAGAAATATGCACGGAAAACAATTTTCTTCGCAACATATTTGAGAAAAATTCTACGTTGCAAACAGTGCAGAACGAACTTATGGAAATTGGTGGAATTTAAGCGAAAAGTTTTGATCTACAAATTTTGATCTACTGGTTGTAGCGGTGGCGGTTCTTTTTTTTCTCTTTTTATTTTTTTTTCCAACGTTTTTTTTTTCATTTTTGTTTTTTTTTCTTTTCGCCGTTTTTTTTATTTGCTGCGTTTTTTTTGCAATTTGTATTGCTCTAGGGGTGAAAAATGACGGCGAATGATTTGAAATAGGTTTCAATACATTTTTCTCGTAATAAAATCATGGAAATTTCAAAATTTCGAAAAAAAAACGAGCTCAATAATTCCATAACAAGAAAAATGATTTTAAACTTTGTGCTCAATGTATTTTCGACCGTCAAAATACATACATTAGTCACTTTCGTTTATCATCCGCCCACCTGTTTTTTGTCTGCAGTTCACTCTTTTTTTCAGGATCTTTATAAACTGATGTGCCCTCTCGAATGGGCTCTTCGTTTGATCCACGTAAATGTGATCGACACATCTGTCTTATTCATATTTGTGGACAAAAGAGGGGAATTCAAGAAGCTATCACTTCAAAATTTGCCTGTGCAGAAAGAGATGCAAACCCAGAAGTCTATGACCTGCATGGAATCAATTGCGTTGAGGCATTCAACAACTGTTAAATGATACCAGCCTTGTGTCAGCTCATCGAAGTTCGACTTCAAGGTGATGTGGTCGTGAGCATGTCTTGCTACTGCCAATGCTTGGGAAGATACAAAATGGAGTTCCCTGCCAACTCCTGCAGCTAAGAATGGAAACGAAAACAGATCCAAAAAGGTAATTAATACTTTTTCAAATGAAATTTCAATTAGTGTTCTTTCAGCTGGACGGTTCGGATCGAATGAACTTGAAGTGGCTAGAGTGAGCCGTGTGGATAGGAGAGGCGTTCCCGATACATGATCTTCCACAGTATGAAATCGTCACTTTAAACATCACATTCACTGGAATCACATTCAAGGATCTATCGTTTTATCCATCTAAACATTATCGATACACCTGTCTTATTCATGTCCGTGGACCAAAGAGGAGAATTCAAAAAGCTATCACATCAAAAAAATTGGCTGTGATCTACCTGCTGAAAGAGACGAAGTTTCTATTCGAACATGCTTCTCAGCTCATCCAACGTCTTTAACGTTGTATGGTCGTAATCATGACCTGCCTGGAGTTAATTGCGTCGAGGCATTCAACAACTGTCGAATTGTGAGTTTTTTGTTAACAACTGTATCAAAATGAAACAAAACACATTTTCAGACTCCGAAGCCTTCCATCTGTGTCGTTACGAAGGAGTGGTTCCCCAACTCGCGTATCGGACGCATCGCAAATGTCGTCGCACCGTCAAGAATGACCCCGTTGAGCACGTCAAGAAGACCATCTCATCGAAAACCTGCGAAGTATAAGTACTTAGAAATCCGAGATTTCAGTTAACTCTCTCATGTTATCCACATTTTCTTTACGGGCCTCTTCGAAAAATTGATCTCTTGTTGCTTTAATGTTGGATATATGAAAATTTTGATATTATCACCATTTTACTAATGAGACAAAATAAAAAAAAGGTGTGAATTATTTGACAGAAAAACGAAAAATGAGCAAAATGCTTACAAGGGAACCTCAAGTATCTAAACATCTCTGAAAACTTCAGAATCCGCCCGCCAGTTTCAGCCGAGTTATATNAGNTNNAGTACCAAAAATCGNCTTTTAAGGCAGCGTTTTCAAGGACGTTTCTCTCAGGTCCTAAAACGTTTTGGAGCATGAAATTTGTTTTATTACTCTCAGAATTGTACGAAATCTCATATTTCAAACCTTTTCTCAAGAACAAAAATATTTTTATTTTTGAATTTTTTCACGATTTTCCAGAATTTTTCGAACATTGAAAAAAAAATTCTGAGAAAAAGTTTGAAATATCAAATTTTATAAAAATTTGAGTATAACACAACAAAGTTCATGCTTTAAACCGTTCTAGCACTTGAGAAAATCGTCCATGAAAACGTTGATTTTGTAGTGAAAAGGCTATTTTTGGTACCGAAACTGATATAACTCGGCTGAAACTGGCAGGGGGATTCTAAAAATTTCGGACATGTCTAGATAGGCGATTTTCAACCCATCCTGAAATTTTCATCAAAATCTGGGTTCTTGAGGTGTTGAGGTTCCCTTGTTAGAGATAGTTAGGTTCCAGAGGCTGATGCTCAACGTTGCGCCGACAAATGTTGAGCTGCTGTCACGTTGATGGCAAAACATTGCAGACGAGAATCGTTGACGTTTTTGTATTTCGATGACGTCTACTGAAAAAGAAAAGAGTTTCAAGAAATTGAAAATCTAGTTTTTTTTCTACACAACTCGCATGTAAGATACTTTTTTGAACCGTCTTCGTTCTCATTTTAATGGCATGTGAGTGGTAAAACACGCATTCCCACAGAAATCACGAGCAATTACGAGCAATTATATTCTGGAATAAAATAAATTCTAAAATTGGACGTATGTACTCTTAATGCTTTTTGGATAACTTTTACAGAAACTGAGATAATTGAGCTGAAAGGGTTAGTACAGGGTGGTTTTCTTAAGTAAGTTTGGATTTCTACACACCAAAAAAATAAATTTACATGGAATGACTCCCAAGTGCTACCCTCGAAAAAAATTGAGACCTATATGGTTGGATAGAACGTAAAAAGTTATTTCAGATTCCAAACGGAATAGTTGGTAAAAAATTTCTTTTGGGAGTTATGGTCCAAAAAGTACCAAAAAATGCCTAAATTTTCAAAAAATCATAACTTTGTCAGTTTATGTCCGTTTGTTGAAATTAAAAAACAGTAGATAGACAATTGAATGAACATTTGAGAATAAATTTTTTAAATTTTTTTTCCTATTGATTGGTTTATTGATTTTTTGAAAAAATCAAAAAATTTTTCAATATCTCAAAAATCCTAGGTTAACTTTTCTTTTCATTATGACCATTGAATTCAGCACATTTGATTAACTACAGAAACATATCAATACCCCGGGGGGAATCATGCTCACACAATTTATGCCAAAAAATATCGATTTTTGGCACTTGGCTTCTTTGAATTCGTTGTCCTCGGCGGCCGGTATGGTGAGGGGCATACTGGTTTTTGTGATTTTTATTTGCGTATGGATTGCCTGGATTGTTTGAAATAGAATCCTGCGACATACAAAGTCAATTTTTCAAATGCCGTACCATTTCTTAAAATCATCATCTTGAAATGAAAATTTCAAAACTTCGGAAAAACGCGCCCAACAATAATACAATGAGAAAAAATAATTTTGAACTTTGTGCTCAATGTGCTGTAGACCATCAAAATATATAAGTTTGTCGCTTTCGATTATCACACGTTAACACGATATTTGTCTTTAGTTTACTCTTTTTTTCAGGGTAGTTCTCCTCAACGGTTACCCATTTTTGGGTCCACAGGGTGCCGTGATTCCACGGATGACATGATTGTGTAGCATCTGATGGTACATAATTTTCGTTTTAAAGAAAGTTTGCAAATTGATTCGTTTCAGAACTACTCCGTAAGGGCTCCTGTTGTTCGAAAGACTTCTAATGTCGTCTGCAAAAATTTCCTACAAGTGAGTTTTAAAGATATATATGAAGATCTACCCAAATAATTAAGTGATGTATCCAATTGTAACCCGAATATATTTCAGGAACCTGCTTTCGGTCAAATCACATATGGTGAAGAACCAATTTACCAACAAAGACGACTTTCTGGAAAATTGAAACAAATATAAGGAGTCGGTTCAAGTTCAATCTGGATATGGGGCGAGTATTTTTTTTTAGCTCCAGATAAGGAACCTGAATCTGCAACCTGATGTTCTAATGGAAGAAGAAAACCAGGATCTCCCTGGTCCAGGACCGGCCACGCTCCAGATGAGGATGCTTCTGAACTTTCAGGTAAGCATTATTATTAAAATTAAATTTTTTTGGATTCAAAAAAATTCAACTCCAATATGATAGTTCAAAAAAGTAATGACTCAATTTGTGATAACATTAAACTTTGAGCTCAATTTTCTCTGCTCTTTCAAAAGATATCAAAAATCTGCAAAAAAAAAAATTGATAAATTATTTATCATCTCATCACCAATATTTAATCAATTGCTACATTTTTGATATCTCTCATAAGAACCAAGATAATCGAGCTCAAAGTAACCTTTCCTGTCAGAAACCAAGTAGTCAAATTTGAATCCTTACATCTACTTTTCTGTAGAAGATATCAAAAAGTGGTCAACTGACAAAATCTTCATCATAATATCATCAATATTTAAATAGTTGACACATTTTTGGTATCTCTTATAGGAACCAAGAAAATCAAGCTCAAATTGAAAGAATCTTAAGGACAATCAAAATCCGTAGAATCAGTAGGCCTTCTTGACATTCATTGAAGGTTTATTTTATTCTCCACTTTTTTCTGATTATGTTGATACAAAACCAAATATCTAGCACAGTTTTGAAGCGAGTTATAACTGAATTTGTTCTGGGGACGCGGTCAGCCAGAGGTAATATAGCGGAGGAGCGTCGATCCTCTTCTGTCGCTGAAACAAAAACTTCAAAAATTGAATGCTAACATGGCCTTATCATAGTGTTTATCAGAAGGCTTTCAAAATATCAAGAATTCACTTTTCGGAGTGTCAATTCTTCCAATCTGTTCCTTTTGACCCCGCTACTCTCTTTAACTACATTGACGTTTATGGAGTTATCCTTGCACTCTTTAATATCTTCGAATAATTTGTTTCCTGTCAAGGACAGAAGGGGCTCTTTCGACATCTCCAAATGTACTCCTGGGAAGGTCAATCGTTCCAATCTGTTCCTCTAATCCCATCTATTCTCATTGCATACAATCTCCCCCTTTTCGCACTTTCTAGCCCCATGTAATAAGTTTTTTGTCAAAGTCGATGAGACACTAGAATTCTCCTTTTCACCCGTTCTCTATTCCCGCGCACCCACCTGGTCGTCTGTACTAACCACGCCTACCTTGAATCTTTGCGCGTTGGTGAAAATCAATCATTGTCTTCGCTTGGAAACCTGACTGAATGGTAGCCACAATATTCCGGGGGCATTTCCGTTGACTCTTTTGAATGAGTGGAGTCGGAAATGTTCCCCTTATTTTTTGAAAATTATTCTTATTTTCTATTTACTCAGAGTCTTTCAAAAACCCTTGTGAATGGATTTTGGAAGATTCTTTTTGATTTTTCTGATGATTTCTATTCTACACGCAAACCCAAATAAATGGTAGGTATCATTTTTGAGCTAAAAATGTTATTTCAAGTTTAAAAAAAAATTACCCAAATACGAGAAATTGATAAGAACTGAACTCAGTTACAACTCAATTTTTGGCTTAGTTATCAGATTTTGGCCTTTTTTCTGTAGACGATAGCCGACCGGGACGATCGATCGATCGGCGCGTCATCATGCCGAGTTTTTGCGTACCCAGAACTTTATTTTCCGGCGCATTTTTTTAATTTTGTGAAAACACTCACTGGCGTTAGCCGATTTTCGATCAACCAAAATGAAACGTTTTCTCACCGGAAGATACAGTAAAACCTTTAATGGAAAGGTCCCCAAATTGTCAACTTTGAGCTCAAATATCTAGATTTTTGTGAAAGATATCAAAAGTGAGTCAAATGACAAAAAACGTCTGATATTGGAATGAACAATTTATCAGTTGACACCTCCTTCATATCTTTGACATAAAACGAAAAAAATTAGCTCGAAGTTGAAAGTTAGAGATCCCCTCTAATACAGGTTTTACGGCAGTCAACTTCGAAGCGATATATCTCAGTTTCTGTAGCAGATATCAAAAAGTTTTCAACTAATGAAGCATTTATCATAATATCACTCCAGATGAGGAACCTGAATCTCCAACCTAATGTTCCAATGGAAGAAGGAAACCAGGATCTCCTTGGTCTAGCGGCGGCAACCCTCGAAATGAACCTTCAGGTAAACATCATTATTGAAATTGAAATGTTTTTTGAATTCAATAAAATTTCCTCATTTCAATAGCTTAAAAATTAAGCAATGTGGCTCAATTTAGGATAGCGTACCGTATGTGCTCTAATCCAAACTGCGAGCTCAACTATCTCGATTCCTGTTTGAGATTTCAAAAATCTGTTAATAAGCAAAATCGCTATCATAACATCACCAATATTTTATCAGTTGACAAAATTTCGATATTCCTCATAGGACCCTAGATGATTGAGCACAAAGTTGCAAACTAGGAAACAAGAGACTTTTCCCGTCAGGAACCAATTAGTCAACTTTGAAGCGATATATCTCAGTTTCTGTGGCGGATATCAAAAAATTTTTAATTAATAAAGCATTCATCATAATATCACCAATATTATATCAGTTGACACATTTTTGATATCTCTCAGAGGAACTGAGATAATTGAGCTCAAAGTATAAAAAAGGCTTTTTGGGAACGCTTTTTAAATGTCTATTCTATTTTTTATATTTTTTCATTATTTTGGTGCAAAAACCAAAATTCTAGCACAATTTGGGAGCGTGTTATGCCTAAATATTTTCTTTGGTGAGCCGGAGGTGATAACAGGAAGAAACTGTCGCGCCCGCCGCTTATCACCTTCAGCTGGCCGCGTCTCCAAAACAGAAAAGGATGTAACTCGCTTCCAAATTGTGCTAGAAACTTTTGGTTTTTGTACCAAAATATGCTAAAAGTTTCACTCTTCGTTATGTTGTAGTTTGGAGTATGCTGAGCTTATTGAGGCTTCTGAGAATGAGCTCAAAAAATCTCATTTTTGCTGAAAATTAGTTTCCACGTTTCTTTGAATACACTGATTTTCAAAATTTTCAGATGGCAGCTCAAGTCGAGGAAGAAGAGATGGAACTGGACGATGAAGAAGAAGCTCATGGAATTGAAGAAGTCGCAGCTCCAGAAGAAAATGTCGCTTGCTGTTCTTGTCCTCTTCAGAGCCGGTACAACGTCCCAAACAGAGAATGCTCAGGAGGAGAGAAATGCCAAAACGAGAGCAGAATCCCACCAAATGCAGATTTCATGGGGCTTATCGAACCAAGTAGTAATGGAAGTGACTACTGCATGGAGTGTTTCGCCGTGGAAGACCGAAAAATCCAGAAGGAGCGCTATATGAAGAAGAAGAATGAGAATGACAAGTTTGAAGAAGTGTTGAGATGCTCAAGATGTATGAAATTGTGGCACATATGCTGCTCCTTTCACATGAAAAGATCCAATGGGTTCAAATGCAAGTTCTGCGTGAAAAATGAGGCTCCGAAGATCTTGGATGCTGGAAAGGGACGATGTCGAATTGTCACGATGATGGAGGACAAGCTGAATGCGATTCTGGAGGAGCAACAAGGAAAAGTATGTAGAAGAGATTGGCTATAAGACTCGGACCATCGCAGTCTTCCAAAAGCAGAATGGAACTGATCAGATATTCTTCATGCTCTACACCCACGAATACAAGAATCCAGCTAATCAGAAGTCTTGGTTCGCGATCGACTACCTGGATTCTGTGAAGTACTTGGAGGCCGACCGTCGGAAGCAGATCAACCAGGAAATTCTTTCACATAAATTCTTTGTTTTTTAAACCTCATTCATGAACAAAATAACTTTTTACAAAATAAAATAAATATCAAAAAATAATAATTTCATCTTTTTAAAACCAAAAAAGTTCTGAACTTTCATCTTGGAGGACATCTAGCCATCATTTTCAGCATCCATCCTGGCTCGTGCCTCTGAAATTGGTCTAAATTGGTCTAAATTTAAATTGGTCTAAATTTGAAAACGTTTTAGAGAAAACTTTTTGACCTGCAAATTTTGATCTACTGGTTGTTGCGGTGGCGGTCTATTTTTTCTTTTTCTTTTTTTTCCAAATTTTTTTCTTCATTTTTTCTTTCTTTTTGTTATCCTTTTTTATTTGTTGCTGGGTTTTTTGCAATTTGTGTTGTTTTATGGGTAAAAAATGACGGCGAATCGATTAAAATAGGTTTCAATACACTTTTCTGGTCACAAAATTTCTAAACTTTTGAAAACTTTAAACTTTAAAATCTTCTTTCTGATTTTTGAGCCCTCTTCAATATGAAAAAAGTTCCAATTATCGAATATCGTTCTCAACTATTGGTTTTCTATGCCAGGTACATGATGTGTGCACTTAGAACCGCGAGCTAAACTCCCCATGTAATATCATCCTATAATAATAAAACAATTGTCGCTCCTGGTACTTTAATGGTTTTCGAGTTCAAAATTCTTTCAGTTTTATTTTGTCTGACACCGGAACCTCTTCACAAAACGGCTTTAGCCAGACTGCATGGAGAACTGTCGTATCTGAAACTGGGTCCCGATGCTTCAAGGTGATATGGTCGTAGGCGCAATATGGAGTTTCATGCCAACTGCACCAGCTAAAAACGCAAAAGACTACAGATCCAAAAAGGTAAAAATTGATTTTCCAATGCAATTTTAAATAATGTTATTTTAGGTGTACGGTTTGGATTTCGACCTGGTACATACAACGAATGGACTTGAGAGAGGCTGAGCTTTGACGTTCTCGATGCATTTGTCCTTCCACAATACGAAATTGTCAGTTCAAACGCCACATTCACTGGAATCACGGAGAAAGACCTATCACTCGATCCGCCTAAATGTTATTGATAGCAGTTTGTGAGTTTTTTTGTCAGAAGCTGTATAAAAATGAAAAAATTTCAGACCCCGAAGCCAGTGTATCAGTGTTGTGTTCTTGATCCTCTTCCTCTTCATCGAAAACCTGCAATGTCTCAGAAATTCACAATTTTCTGTTCACCCTCTTATGTTATCCAAATTTTCTTTACTTATCTCTTAAAAAATATACGTATTGTTCGAATTATGTTCGTTCTGCTTTATTGTTGGATATAAGAAATGTTTATTTCAACTTTAGAGGGCAGTCTTCCACCATGGGGCGGGAATTTGACAAAAATATTGCACATATAAAAAAGATAAAAGCAAAAAAGTGTCAAAATGCAAACGGTGTCTGGAGAGGGAGCAAAGGAATGTTGTCTCGAATGGGAAACAAAGAAAAAATGATTCATAATGAAAAAAAAATTTGAAAGAAACAAAAAAAAAGAAAGAAATTTGAATTTGAAAAAGCATTCAAGGGAGTACAAACTTGGATATTGTTCTAATGAACAGGGAACAGGGAAATGTTGCCTCGATAGTTCTAAGAGATTCAGTTAGCTCTTTAGCTGTAGTTGGTATTGTAGAACATACATATTGTTGCTGCTACTTTGTAGGAATATTTTCTCTCGCAGAATTTAAGAAATTTTAAATCCACACTTTGAAAAAGTCAAAATTGTTTTTTTTTTTCATTTCATGTGCTCGAAGAGCAGCAACCATTTTTGGAGCATTTACTATCAACTTCTTTGGGTACATTTTTGCAGAACTATCTCTTTTCACAAAGTCTGAGAAATTCCAATCACAAAATTCCAAAAAAAATCAGAATTATTTTTTTGAAATTTATTTCGTGCTCGCGGAGCAAAAATCATTTTTTCAGCAAATACGATACATATTTTTAATAAAAATTTGTGGAGACATCTTCATTCATAAAATTTAAAATATTCGAATTCTATGTAAAATTTAAAAATATTATTTTTTTTGTGCTCGCGGAGCATTAACAATGTGCGAAAAACATTTTTGTTCACGACATATTTGGAATCAGTTTTAAATTTCAAACAGAGCAGAACAAAATATTTGAAAACGACGCGATTTTAGAGAAAAAATTTTGATCTGCAAAATTTGATCTACTGGTTGTTGCAGTGGCGGTCAATTTTTGCTTTTTCTTTTTTCCAACGTTTTTCCTTCGTTTTTTTTTTTTTTTCTTTTTGCCTTTTTTTCTTTGCTGTGTTTTTTTTGCAATTTGTGTTACTCTAGGGGTAAAAATAACGGCGAATCGTTCGAAATAAGTTTCAGTACTATTTTCTCCTTAAAAATGATGATAATTTCAAAATTTAAAAAAATAGCGCGACATCAAATCAATTTGATGCTTTCGATTATCATTCGTTGACATGATATTTGTCTGCAATTTACTCTTTATTTCAGGATACACATAAACTGTCTCCACAATGGTTTCCTATTTTCGGGTTCACACAGCGCCGGGATTCCACAGATAAGGGATGTGTCATAAGGGACTTTGAAGCTGCTGGTGGTACTTAATTTTACTTTTATATATTTTTTGCATATCGATTCGTTTTAGATCCACTCCGAAAGTACTCCCGTTGCTCGAAGGACTTCTTTCCAATGGATGCTCGGAGTTCGATCCACCTAAATGTGATCGATACCGAGCGATGGCTCCCCAAAAATGTGTTTATCACCATCGAAAGAAGTTCACGCGAAACAAAGCTTTGTTCACACATGCTGCTCAGCACATCCAAGCACGTCTTCAAGGTGGCGTGGTCGTAAACACAGATCCGCTAGAATTGGAAGGATCTATCAGCAGCAATCACCTTCGAAGCATGCCGTCTTCAAACGTTCCAATTACAATTTGGAAACTCTTTTCGTCGGCCATTCGCTGGAATCGGATCTCTTCATCTTCACCATCCACCCAAATCATCAGGTATACTTGGACATAGAAAGGCTGATCAAGTGGTATCGAGGAGTTCTGGACGAAGGAGTTGAAAAACAGAGGATCAAAAAGTATCAAGATTTTGGAGAGAAGAAGATCAAGAGAATCGAGGACCTGCCACTGTTCGCAGACTCATTGTGGTCCAAGAAAATGAAGGAAGTGGTGGACCGATCGGATACTGATAAGAAACTATTCAACGAAGACATGGTCCATCATTTTGGAGAGCACCAGAAGGACAACTTCTTTATCGATTTGGCAGGCGGATGTGCGTTGGAAGAAGATGACACACCGACCACCAGCCACGCCTGGATCCTGGATAGCCTGACTTTTTTGGAGCACTGCCGGAAGCACAATTGGGAAATTGGAGAACCAGCGAGGGCCAGATTATCAAGTGTGGCTATGATGAAGAAGTTGGAGAAGGTTCGGTAAAGTGAGTTTTATGTCAAATGTACTTTTCGAAACTAATTTTTTTCAGATTGCTCCAGAAATCTTTGGCGTTGTCCTCAACATCCAGAAGTGTCTTCTCATCGTCCATCGTTTGCTGCTTCAATCCATCATCTTCTTCAACATCTGCTCGTCTTCGTTTTTTTCGTCCTGTCTCCTTCCAATCAGTCTGAAATTTGCCGAATCCTTCTGAAAGTGCAGTATCCAAGCTGTCTTCTGTCTTCAGAACCTCCCGAAAATCGCCCACGTCTGTGGTTTTCAAATTCATATCCTGCAGTCTTGGCATTTTCCGTTCCTACCGGTTTCCAGTATTTTTTCCCACTGATTCTTCCAAAATTTCTCCGGTATTTTCAATTTTGCAGCTTTCCATATTCAAGTTGTATTAATCCCTCTTGTACATCTATTTTTTTCCGTTTTTTATGATTTTCTGGACTGGTCTAGATCCGAGTCCCAATTTTGTAGTTTTCAAATTTCCCGTTCTCTCATGTCAATTCCTTTCTTTCATTTATTTTTTCTACTTTCTAGATTCTTGTAGGTTTCCCAAAAATCCCTTTTGTTGATTTATTTCCGAAAAACTCATGATTGTTTTTTTCTCTCTGAAAGTCTATCCACTTTCATCTGTTCTTTATCGAAATTACTCACATTTCCAATATGTTTATTTATTGTTCTTCCTCCCATTTTTACACAAATTCTTTGTTTTTTCAACCCCATTTATAAACCAAAATAACTTTTTACAAAATAAAATAAATATGAAAAAAAATAATAATTTCAGCACAAAAAGTGGGGAAAAAAAATCCAAAGTTGGTTTTTTTAGAATCAGAATTTTATGAATTTTGTGAGTTAAGATTTCCTAGTGTCATCGAAAAAATCTATCGCATTTGCTATACAAATAAATGTTCCTCCGCGAGCATAAAACATGGAAAAAATATAATCATTTTGATTTTTTTTGTTATTCAAATTTTTCAAACATTTTTTGTAAAGATATCTCCGCGAAAATGTACCGGTAAAATTGATCGGAAGTTCTCAAAATATGGGTGTTGCTCCGCGAACACAAAACAATGGGAAAAAATAAAAATTTGACTTTTTTGGTGTAGAATTTTAATTTTTCAAATTTGTGAGTGTAGATTTTTCCACAATGTTTCATTTAAAGCAAGCATCGCATTTGCTCAGAAAGTGTTTGTTGGTCCGCGAAAACAAAGTGTAAACCCCAAATTTGATTTTTTTTTGGTTAGATTTTTGTGGATAAATTGTTATGAGGGTTGTGTTTTTCAGAATGTTTATATAAGTTGAGTTATTAGCCCTTTGATTCTTACCAAATCTGAATATTTATTCATTTTCTCCCCGGAGGCCGATAGCCGCTTCATTGAATAGCAAGTCTTCTCTCATTCGTTCTGAAATTTTTGTATCCCCTATTTATTCAATAAAGACTTGACTGGAAATTTTTATCGGAAGTTTGTGCCAAAACTTTCTGAAACAAAAACTTCAAAAATTGAATGCTACCATGACCGTTTTATAGTGTTTATCAGAAGGCTTTCAAAATATCAAGATTTTACTTCTCGGAGTGTCAATTCTTCCAATCTGTTTCTTTCGACCCCGCTACTCTCTTCAACTACATTGACGTTTATGGAGTTATCCTTGTACACTTTAATATCTTCGAATAATTTGTTTCCTGTCAAGGACAGAAGGGGCTCTTTCGACATCTCCAAATGTACTCCTGGGAAGGTCAATCGTTCCAATCTGTTCCTCTAATCCTATCTAGTCTCATTGCATACAATCTGCCTCTCTTCGCACTCTCTAATCCCATGTAATAAGTTTTTTGTCAAGGTCGATGAGACACTAGAACACTCCTTCTCACACGTTCTCTATTCCCGCGCACCCACCTGGTCGTCTGTACTAACCACGCCTACCTTGAATCTCTGCGTCTCTCATTTACCTTTAGTACTCTGGTCGTTTGCTGGTCAGAGCAGGCGCGTTGGTGAAAATCAATCATTGTCTTTGCTAGGCAACTTAACTAAATAGTAGCCACAATATTCTGAGGGTATTTCCGTTGACTCTTTTAAATGAATGGAGTCGGAAATGTTCCCCTTATTTTTCTGAAAATTCCACTTATTCTCTATTTACTCAGAGTCTTTCAAAAATCCTTGTGAATGGATTTTGAAGGATTCTTTTTGATTTTTCTGATAATTTTCATTCTACGCGCCAACCCAAATAAATGGTAAGTATTATTTTTGAGCTAAAAATGTATTCCCAAGTTCCTTTGAATACACTGATTTTCATAATAACCATTGGCAGGATTTTTAATTTTGCCAAATTTTCAGTTGGAAGCTGCTCAGGCCAATGTGGAAGAGGTGGAGATGGAGCAAGAGGAGAAGCTCAAGGAGCTGACGCACAAAAACAAATCGGCTACCCTAGAGATGAGGAAAAAGAACCTTCAGGTAAGCATAATAAAAATTTGCTTCTAGATTCAAAACATTTCATTCCAATACGATAGTTTTCAAATGAACCAAGCTAAAGCTCAATTTAGGATAGCATACCGTATTTACTCCATTAGAAGCTCACCAGCCAAAATTATTAAACTTTGAGCTCAATTATTTAGTTTTTTATAAAAGATTTGCAAAAATTTGCCGACTGATAAAGTGTTTATCATGTTATTATCAATATTTTATTTGTTGACAACTTTTTGATTCAACTTATAGAAAGCGAAATAATTGATCTCAAAGTTGCTAACTAGGTAACTTGGGCTCAAAGTAACCTTTCCTGTCAGTAACCAAGTAGTCAATTGTGAGTCCACATATCTCATTTTCTGTAACTGATAGCAAAAAGTGAATAACTGATAAAATATTTGTCATAATATCACCAATGTTTTATTAGTTGATACATTTTTGATATCTCTCATGGAGTCCGAGATAATTGAGCTCAAAGTATAGGGTGGGCTTCTTCGGAAAAATTGTTTAGATGTCTATTCTATTTTCCATATTATCTGATCACTTTAGTTCAAAACCAAATCTCTATCACTATTTTGAAACGAGTTATGCCTAAATTTGTTTGTGGGACGCAATGCGCTAGAGGTGATATAGCGGAGGACGCGACAGTCACCTTCTGTCGCGCCCGCCGCTGATCACCTCTAGCTGGCCGCGTTTCCATAACAGATATGGCTGTAACTCGCTTTGAGATTGAGCTAGAAACTTTTGGTTTTTGTACCAAAATATGCAGAAAGTTTCACTTTTTGTTATGTTGTAGTTTGGAGTATGCTGAGCTCATTGAAGCTTCTGAGAATGAGTTCAAAAAATCTCATTTTCACTGAAAATTAGTTTCCAAGCTTCTTTGATTACAAAGAAGCTTGGAAATTTTTACATTGACAGGATTTCTAATTTTCCAAATTTTCAGATGGCAGCTCAAATCGAGGAAGAAGAAATGGAACTGGACGATGAAGAAGCAGCTCATGGAGCTGAAGATGTTGAAGAAGTCACCTGCTGCTCCCGCGAACTTTGTGCTCGGTACAACGTCCCAAACAAGCTCTGCGCAGAAGAATCCAAGTGCCAAAACGAGGCGAGAATCTCACCGAATGATGAATTCATGGGGTTGACCAAGCCAAGCAGTAATGGAAGAGAATACTGCATGCAGTGCTTCGCTGTGAACCCAAGAATCCAGAAGAAGCTCTATATGAAGAAGACGAATCAACAAGAGAAGTTCGAAAAAGTTCTGAAATGCACAGGATGTCAAAAATTGTGACACCTATGCTGCTCCTTTCACTTCGATAGGTCCAATTCGTTCAAATGCAAGTTATGCGTGGAAAAAGATGCCCCAAAGTTTTTAGATGCTCAGAAAGGACGCTCAAGATTAGTTACTACGATGGAAGAGAAGCTCAATTCGATTCTGAAGGAGCAACAATCAACCAGGAAATTTTTTCACCTAAATTCTTTGTTTTTAAACCTCGTTTATGACCAAAATAACTTTTTACAAAATAAAATAAATATCAAAAAATAATAATTTCATCTTTTTAAAACCAAAAAAGTTCTGAACTTCCATCTTGGAGGACATCTAGCCATCATTTTCAGCATCCATCCTGGCTCGTGCCTCTGAAATTGGTCTTCTGGCTTTCTGATTTCGTGATAGAAGACGAGAAGTTTTTTGGTATTCGAAAAAGGGGAGGATACAGCTGAAAAAAAATAAATCTAGGAACCTAGGAATTTACAGTTAGTAATCGAGGAATCTAGGAATCTAGAAATCTGGAAATCTAGAAATCGAGACATATAGGAATCAAGGAATCTAAAAATCTAGGAATCTAGAAGACTTGAAGTTCGTGATACTTGATATTGAAGAAGGCTCAAAAATCTGAAAGCAGATACTGTTTATTTCCAAGCATGTCTGAATTCCTGGGTGGATATTGAAGATGAAATCATCTCCTTTGTGTGGAGAACCTGCCCAGATATAGCCATTGAAAAGTCAGAGAGTCTTTGCGAACTCAAAATAAAAGAGTACGATTTCCGAGTAGAGCTTCCGAAGATCGAGGAATTCGTCAACTGCTAAATAATACCAAAGCAATAAAAAATTTCACTCAACTTTATACGGTCAAGGGGCGGGGCTTATTTTTGAACTTCTATTATTGAAGTACATTTTTTTTGGAAAAAAAAATTGTTCGAGAGATTTTTGTCGAAATTTCTTGGACAATTTCTAGAAAAAAGCATTTTTCCGATAAAATTTTTCCGAGGTGACAAACTATTGTGTGTATTTTCAGTGAAACTTTGTGAAAATATGTTTCTTCACAAATTCTAGCTCTACACCAAAAAAAAACAAATTTGGTGTTTTTTTTCATTTTTTGTGCTTGCGGAGCAACAATTACTTTCTAAGAAAATGCGATGCATATTTTCGATGCCACTCTGTAGAAATATTTTTGCGCAAAATTTGAGAAATTGTAAATCTACTCTTTAGAAAAAGTCAAATTTTGTCTTTTTTCATTTCATGTGCTCGAGGAGCAGCAAACATATTTGCAGCATTTACTATCAACGTCTGAAGGCACGTCTTTGCAGAACTACTACGTTTATACGATAAGAAGCTGGACTCCGAAGAAGAGGAATATTGGACCATCGCATCTTTAATCATGGACCTGGAGAAGGTGATCACAAAGCAACCATCATCGCTCACTGCGCAGAAAAACAGACACAAAGGAAGGTGGCGGCGACAATGTCACCAAAGACAAACAGGAGTCGACCCAACATCTGCAAGCGACGGTCGCGAGAGGAGAGACACGGCGGTATGAGTCAGCACAGTCTCCCCCACTTACAAAGGAATCCTTCGTGCCAACGCTAAAAGCAAAATCCTACAACGAGGGAACGAGGGACTGGCAGAATTTAACTATCATGATCGATAGTGGAGCGGAACTCATCTACGTTTCCAAAGAGTTGGCCAGAAGTCTACAACTTCCAGACAAAGGATCAGAGTCGTTCCAATTGAGGACCTCCAGTTCAGGACCATCAAAAGAAGTGTTCCGCAAGGTGGAGCTGATACTTCAGGTCACCGAAGAAAAGGATCTGAAAATGGACGTCCTTTTGGCATCTCAACTTGCAAGAAGAGTCCAGAAAGCCAAGTTGAGTCAAGACGATTTGGCCTTCGTCATCAAGAAAAAAGGGTCATAACGGATGATGAATTGGTCAACGAGGCAATGGCCGAACAGCCTCTTCTGGCCTAGAATAGAGGTGGAGAAGCCCAAGGAGGAGAAGGGGCCAAATGAGGAGGAGGAGAGGCCAAAGGAGACGTCCAGCAAGCTTCACAATGTTCTCGCAGATGCAATCGAGGAGCACGCGAACGAACAGGATGGACTCAATGTTGTAATTACTGTCATTGTAGAGTCTAACAAACGTTTATATTGAGTTAAAAAAATATGTTTCCATTACTTGTGCATACACTGTGAAAAAAAGTGTGCTTTCGAACTTTTAGATACTTTCATACATTTTGTTTAAAAATAGTAAATGTTGAAAGATTATGAAAAAACAGTTTAAACTCATGAATTTAACGGGACCGGCGAACAAATGAACTCGAGAACAAAATAAAATTAAAAAAACAATTATATGATCACACACATGAATTTGGCATCAAAGCCGGAACTCTTACTGGGACTGGCAAACTATAATACTCGGGAATCCAAAATCTTTTTTTTTTCCAAGAAATCACTCACATTCAATGTATTTTTCTTCTCATTTTTACCTTAGAAGTGATTATGAAATCATTACTTACGGTGCTTTGGGGTGTTTTAACATGAAAACGGAAATTTAGGCCATTTCAAGGCTGGTACAATATAAGACTTGCGTTTTGTGATCGGGGAGCAATTTGGCCCAAAACAAGAATTAATGTACATGAAATTTTGATTGTGGGATGAGAGGGACTAGAAAAAAAAAACTAAAATACCTAAAAAAAAATATCTAAAATGCCAGAAATAAGAGGAAAAAAGGCAAACATCTTTCAGAATCTGGAGCAATTGGAATGGAACCTTCGTGTTTGTGGGCCTGCCTTGAAACAAGCCATTTTCGTTCAACCCTCACATTTCTTCCATTTGCTCAGAACCATGACACTAGCGGGTCCCCATGAATTCAAATTTCGCCAAGTGCAAGAGAACATAATATTCTTTTTTTGAACCAAGTTATCGCCATATGGGGGTTTAGATCCGGGCGATAGGCGCGGGGCTTTCTCTTAGATGCACTCCTGGGGCCAGAATCTGAAAAATTCTCATAGAAATCTTACTTTTTTTTTCAACTCACCATCAACTCAAGCTAACTTCATCGACTTGGATTGGTGGTTCGTCATTTTCGTTAAACTCTTGATAGAGCAACCACCAACAATCTGTTGCCCAGCTGGTTCCTCTTCCACTCTGGCTTTTCGAGTTGGATGAAAAAGTTGTCGTTGATCCTCCATCTTTTCCGAAAGTGTTATCTTCTTCATTTGCCTGCGTCGCTTTTCTCCAGAGCTCTCCATCAAACTATCGAAGATCCTTGGCTGATCGCTTTTTGAAATTTCTTGTGTTCCTTGATGATTCCCTCAGCCTTTCCTTTATCGAAACCATTGTTTTTTGTTCAAAATCTTGCTCAGCCAAGCAAGTTGCCATATGTGATTTAGACTGCAGCTGCGGGGCTCTCTCCCTCTTTTATATGCGCTTTTGAGACCGGGATCTGAACATTTATCATCGAATTCTCAAATTTTTTGTGTTTTCAAACTTACCGTTAACTTGAGCTGACTTCGTAGACTTGGATTGGCAATCCCACATTTTTTTATCCGACGTGACATTTCTGTGAAAAGAAAATTTTTATTAACAGTAATTGTTTGAAAATTGAGCGGGAAAATAAGGTCGTGCAACATGGTGCATCGACACATACTGGAAAAAAGAGAAGATACTGTTTATCATGATCAAAAACGGAAAAAAATTAAGTTTATATGCTCAATTCGGACGTTTGGCGCGAAAAAAATGGAGAAGAGAAAAAATACGACGCAGGGGAGAAGTGGTGCGCCACTCGAGGAGGCGCCGCCAAAATAGGTCAGAGCGGTTCTGCGTGCGATTTGGGTGATGGGGAAGGACCACTGGAGGGATCATTGGAATCTACAAATCTCACCTTGTGGTTTTCCATTTCAGTTATGTTTCATATTATCCATCGCTCGAACACGCTCACCGCTGGAAGGAATGTTACCTGAGGACGAGAATAAAATTACTATACTTCATTTTAAATTTCAAAATTAAAATGAAAATAAAAACACAAACAGCATTATAATTGAAACGTTTCAAAAGTCCAATTTTATTCATAAAAACGATCAGAGGTCTACTAAAAAACAAAAACTCATGGTACAACCAAGAGATGAGTGGAATGAAAATGTCAAAAATCCGGAACAAGTAATAAGGAGTAAGGAATGAAAATTAAACCAAAAAGAAAACGAAAAAGGAACAGGGAACACAATTTCAAATCCTGGAAGAAGGAATGAGCAATAAGGAACAAAAACACCTGGGCGAAGGAAGTCGGAACAAGAAAAAAACCTTGTATCAAATTGAAAATGATCAGACATCTGGTACTGTTGGTGTGAATTTCTCGAAAATGATTCGGTCCTCGTAAATTTTGTAGTCAACTGCAGATCCATTGGAAATCGAAAATCTACCTTCCGGAATCCAGTCATCAAGGGTAAATTGGTACGGGATCATTGATGGCTTCGATAAATGACGGTCGTTTCTGACACGAAATTCGTGGCGACTGAAGTTCGACGCCTCCAGAAGATTCTGAAAAGAAAGCTTTGATATTGAGAGTTTAAAAGTAATTCAAAACTCACACTTCTGTATTCTCCCATATCTTTCTCGGTGATTCTGCTGACTACCACCTGCACAGTTCCGATATGAGAAAACTCCGATATTGCCATACTGAATTCTACTCCCATAGTTTCAAGCTTCTTTAAATGAGGTAGGTGTGAGAACAATGTTGTTCCATCGAAAATCTTCATATCGTATACATTTTGAATGACAAGGGAAGTAAGAATTCCAGGTTGAATCACGTCCAGCAGAATCTTGGCATGAGACGCTTCGTGGAGTTCCACATCAATTTTTTCGATTTGAAGCTTTCTATGATTTTTGTACTTCGAGAGCTCTTCATAAAACAGCAAATTGTCGCTGGCTTCTGCATGCATGTCTAACAACCGAACTTTTGTGTTTTTCTTCAGAATTTCGTTCACAAGAAACGATGAGAACACCGAAGCCATCTTTTCCTTTGTTGGGACTATATTGTTGTAGAAAATTTTCTCATTCCCAGATGTTTCATATGGAGCTTGATTTTCGCTGGCAATGAATGAGTACCGATAGAATCCAATGAAATTCAACTTTGGATTATAAACTTCCATATCTCTCCACGTGTATCCTGCTCTTGTGCGAACTCTGCTCAAAAGAACATGGTTCTTGTCGACATAATCCTTGAGACGGTGATCTGTTTGACGTAGAGCTTTCCTGCAAAAAATTAATTTTGTAGGATAATTATTGTACCACTTACATGTCAGAAACCGTCAAATACTGGCAAATGACTTTCAGAGCGTCATCAGCAATTTCGTTGAGCTTAGGAGGCTGTCTGTAATAGATTCGCATTAAAAATCTCTTTATAAAAAAATATTTTTTGAATAATTGCAGTACCGGCCAACAAGATATACAAAAGTTTTTCAGTTAACTTTGATCATTTGCCGGAGTTCGGAGCTCGGCTGTCAAGTTTTCGATCATTTTGAAAAATTTGGCGGTTATAAAACAAACTTGGATTGAAACCCGCATTCACATAATTTTTGAGAATTCCCAGTTTTTCAGCTATTTGCCGATTTTTGAGAGACAGTTGCTATTTTTCACGTGCTCAGTACTAGAAGAAGAAAAGAAGGGGTCTCCTTCACAAGGGAACCTTTTAAACCCATTTCCGGAAAAGTTTTGGAAGGTTTCAAAATTTGCCTAGACTTTCGATGGGCCCTATTTTTGTGTTTGAACAATTTCTTAAGAAAATGTCTCGAATATAAAATTTCACATAATTTTAAGTAGAATTCGAAAAGTTTCAACCCCTAAAATCTCCTAGGAATAGAGAAAATCAGACTTTAAAATTGTCGATTTTACACTGAAAATCTGATTTTTTGGTACTGAAACGGAAATTTCAGCATTTCAAAGGTCTCCTAAGCAGACTTTGGAAACTGTTTTATAGGTTTTTGAACCTGCCCTTCCGATAGCTAAAAACTAGGAATATTCAGGAAAATCTGTGAATGCAAAGTTTTCAATCTAGGTTTTTTTAAATTTCCAAAATTCAAAAAATGATCAGACAATTGACAGCCGAGCTCTGGACTCTTGAAAAGAATCAAAATTAACTGAAAAACACAGTTTTGTATGTTCTAGTGACTGATACTGTATCTAGCCATTCAAGTTAAAAACTCACCTTGTATTTTGTTCCGGTCCTTGGTTCGGTGGGAGAACAAGATGCAGCTGGTCATGAATTGGATCGGTCATTACTGAAATATTATCGAAATTGACTCCAAAAATTAGACAATACAAAAAAATAATTTAGAAGGTTTAGAAAAAAAATCAAGTTTATAAAAATAGTGTATGCCAGAAAAATAGTCATATTACTCTTGTCCGAAATCAATGTACGTTGAGAGCGGATATCTCGCTAAATTTTTCTCAGAGGTCCAAGAGCAAACTGCTGTACCTTTTGAGTCTTTTTAGATTTTATTTTCCTTATTTACTAATTTTTTTGACGATGCTCATCGTTTTCTTCAGGATTTTCAATGATTTTCATCAGTTGCATTCATTTTTTCCAATTCACAAAAAAAAAAACTATAAAAACCGTCGATAAATTGAGAAAATAGAAAAACAAAAGTTCAAAATATGCTCGAAAATAACTGATTTGCTCTTTCGCCTATAAAAATCTAATGAGATATCAGTTTCCAACGTGCATTAATTTCGGACAAGAGTAATATCAAATTGAGATTTTTGAGAGAAAACACAGGCATCGTGAGAGCTCAAAGAATTTCTGGCGCTTTCATGGCTATTAGCTGGTGGTTTGCGCGAAAAGCTATCATTTCACCACGATCTAGCGAAAATATCTAATTGCAGCGAAAAACAGCTGAAAGCAAGACAAGACGACGGAGTGGTTGAAAAATGATTCAAAATGGCTTAGACCAGCCCAAAAATTATCTGAAAAACTCTTCTGTCCAAAAATCAATGTTTCGAGTTGGCACCTGTTGCCAAGAGAAACAAAAAACTAAAGATTATGCGAAAAGCAGAGAAAACACGGAAAGGGGGAACAGCCGGTCACGTAGCCGTTTTCCAGCGCTGTTGTCTCTGCTGTCTCAACACGTGGAAAACCGAAAATAGCTTCTCCTCTGCGTCTCTCGCTGGTATCACACTCTTTAGCTTCGATGTGCGTCTTTGTCCTTATTCAAAATAGCATTCGGCGCGCGAAACGTCACCGGCGGAACGGCGGAGCTTCGTTGCGAATGCGAGGGGGTCTGATGAAGGCTGAAAAAGGGGAAAAAAATTCTTTAAAATTTCGATTTCAAAGATGCATCTTTCAGGATTATTGTCATAAAGCAAAAAAAAAATTAGTCCTATAATCCAGTCAAAACACATTTATTCAAGAAAATAAGGTCGTCCAACATGGTGTATCGACACATACTGGAAAAAAGAGAAGATACTGTTTATCATGATCAAAAACGCAAAAAAATTAAGTTTATATGCTCAATTCGGACGTTTGGCGCGAAAAAAATGGAGAAGAGAAAAAATACGACCGATGTCGAGGACCACAAGCACTGAGAATGAATTCAAAGGAGAAATATCGGTTGTCAAGGTAATTACAAAATCAATAACTTTTCATTTTTGATCTACTGGCAATGTTCAAAACACCATTTGTGTCGAGACACTACACACTCTTGAAGAGACGCAGGGGGAGAAGTGGTGCGCCACTCGAGGAGGCGCCGCAAAAACAGGTCAAAGCGGTTCTGCGTGCGATTTGGGTGATGGGGAAGGACCACTGGAGGGATCATTGGAATCTACAAAGCTCACGTTGTGGTTTTCCATTTCAGTTATGTTTCATAACTGAGGACGAGAATAAAATTGCTATGCTTCATTTTAAATTTCAAAATTAAAATGAAAATAAAAACACAAATAGCATTATAATTGAAACGTTTCAAAAGTCCAATTTTATTAGGGTCTGATTTTTTTAGGGTCTGATGAAGGCTGAAAAAGGGCTTCTTTAAAATTTCGATTTCAAAGGTACTTTTTTCAGGATTATTGTCATAAAGCGAAAAAATTAGTCCTATATTCCAGTCAAAACACATTTATTCAATTAAAAAAACCACAAAATTATGTAAAAGACCAGTATCAGTCATAAACTACAAAACCATTGCCTTGACCGTTTCGTCTTTGCTCACGTATTCTTTACCATCCAGTTTCATCGGCAACATCAGGAGCACCTCAGCTCCTACCAAACTTCCAATATTCGATGAAATCTGATTTCCAGTAATATGAGCAACCGGACATTGTTTGTTTCCCAAATCCTCCAAATACGCTCTCACATATTCCGGACGATCTCCCAATTTGATATCTTCAGCTAATCGAACTCTGATTTGAGTGTGTCGAGGCTTCACGTATCCAGAAAGTGTACGGACAAGAGGAATGGCAAAAAGTTGTGAGCAGACCCAGGCGGATGCGGGATTTCCAGGAAGAGCCAAGACTATTTTGAGGGTTGGCAGTGCTCCGTCAATTTGGATTTGTCCAGAGGCGACAGTGCAAGGGAGACCCGGCTTCATCATCACTCTTCCGAAGTGAATCTGAAAAAATTTACATATTTGAGAATATTTAGATTTTTTGTGAGACTTACAGTCATTCCCAACGATAAAAGCACTTCCTTGAGATTATCCTTCTCTCCCATACTCACACCTCCACTAGTCACGATTACGTCTGATTGCTTCAAGCTCTGGCTCAACTTTTCCTTGATGCATTCAAAGCTGAAAAATTAAAAAAGTACAATAATCTAGTGAAGTAATATGAACCAGAGTCGGGTGATAACTCGCTTCGAAATTGAATTTTTGAGCAAAACAACATACGTGATGATAGAGCTCGACGAGCTCTACAACATCCAACAAGAATACAAGAATCGGACAGTGTTCAAACCGGTAACCATGCGCAGGTACGGCTGAAACATAATGGCCGGTCTGGACCACAATACCGTTTTAGAAGCCGATCGATTCTTATTGAAGGTTCTATAGCTTTTTGAGCTCTATGATCTATGCTGTTTTTCTCACTATTTGAATTTTAAAGCGAGTTATCAGCCGGTCCGGAATCAGCCTGCCAACAACTATGGGGTAAACAACATACTCATCAGAAACTCTTCCACCTGCAATGGCATCGATACCGTATTCCTTGAATAATGCGACAAGCTGGGGTCCATTCGAATCGCGAATCATACCAACAGGCACCTCCTCACAATCCAGGTTGACTAGCTGGAATCTGTATTTTAGATTTTGCAGCTTATTTTGGTTTGTAAATACTTCGTTCCCTGTAGAAATCACAGTCACAATTGGTCTCTTATAAACCATAATGTTTTTGATCCCAAAAGCATTCAAAATTCCAAATTCAGCAGACCCAATCTTGGTTCCAGTTCTCACAATTGTCTCTCCTTTGCGAGTTTCGGATCCAGGCTCACTGAACAATTCCATTTTTTGTTGATTTTTGGAAATTTGTTGATTTTTGAAAATTTACCGAATATTAGTTCCATCCGACACATGATCCTTTATCTGGATCTCCAGTTCTTCTCCTTCATCGTTGGATTTTGTGCAAATTGTGTGCTCAACCATAACAACAGCGCTTGCGCCTTCTGGAACGACGCCGCCAGTGCTGATACGGACACATTGACCAGGTTGGAGCTAAATTTTTTCAAAATTTGGTGTTTTGCGAGGGAAATAAGAGATAGGAAAAAAATGTTAGTCAACTTTGACTATTTTGAAAAGTCTGAAGCTCGGCTGTCGAATTTACGGCATTTTTGAAACTTCTGGAGAGTGTACAACAGACCTTGATTGGAAACTTCGCATTCACAGAATTTATTCGAAATTTCTAGTTTTATGGCTTTTTGCTCCCTACTAAAATACTTCATATTTGCAGTACACCGACGGGCCAAAAAACGGGTGTCTTGCAGAAATCAGCGAATAACTGAAAAACTTCGAATTTTCATAAATTCTGTTAATGTAAAGTTTTCAATCTAGGTCTGTTTTAAATTTTCCAAAATTTTCAAAGTAATCAGAATCATGACAGCAGAGCTCCAGACTCCTGAATGAGAAGTGTTTCCTGACTTTTAATTCACTGAATAAATGCATTTTTTCTTTTTCGGTTCCTGCTTTTTTTCGGTTCCTGTCAAAGATATAAAAATTTTACCAACTGATAAATTGTGTATCATAATATAAAAAGTGTTTTGTCAGTTGACACATACCTGTTATCTTGCTTGGGAACTGTGATAATCTCGAGCGCAGGAGCGTGACAGTGTGAAAACTCTTTTATTACAAATTTAAAGGTAGTTTTTGATGTGGCATTGGACCTGGTAGAGAAACAAAATGCTCTATTGCAACCCAAAACACTATTTCTAACAGTTCTCTTACTGCTTTTGGTTTTTTTTTTTTAATTTCTCACAAAATCTTATGCTAAACTTACCACTCCATTATAAACCGATCCAGCCAGTGACACCCCAATAACAGCTTTAATTTTGGCACCATCGTTTGCCACCACAGCATACCCATCTTTTGTCGAAACTCGAGTTCGTGGCATATTTTCGGTCGATATCGCATTTTCACCTGCTACTTTGCCTGGAAAAAACAATTTTGAAACATATCAAATGCGATTTTTTTTTGCATCTTACCCAATAAGTTCAAATCAACATCCACAACTTCAAATTTGTGGCACATTTGCTTCCCGAGATTTGTCAAAATTTCTTCAGCCTCTTCCATCGGGATGGCAGTATACTTGCTGTCACGGTCACGATGTGCGGGTGGAGGCATTTCTGGAAGAAACAGAAGAATGAAACTGGGAAAAAATAAAATGAGAGGGGAGAAAACAATGTGGAAAATCATCTCGATTATTTTTTCTACCAGAAGAATGCAAAGAAAACAACAAACTGCAGCCAATACACAGAAAAGTAGAAAACAAGTGGAGAGAGATGAGACGTAGACACAACGAGAAAAGAGATTTGTTGTGCAGATTGCCTGAGGTCAACCAGAGGAGACAAGAGAGTATTGGTTTGTCTCGTAAAACATGTCTACTGGCGGGGGGAGGATAATGTATTTTGTGTGCGAGACAACGCAGAAGGTGGTTGATGAAGATTAGAAGGAGAAGATTTCAGAAAACATCAAATGTACAAAAATCGTTAAGGGATTTCGAAAAATCGAAAAACATTATATAGTTTTGTTGACATGTGGGTTGCACACACAAAAAAGGAAAACATTCTTATCAGAAATTTTTGTTTTTTATCGTTCTGTTCTCTGAAAAAAAAACCTAGTAAACATACTTGCAATGGCTCTTGTTAATAACATTTCATCTACTTTTTCTCAGTTTCTGTCAAAGATATCGAAACATGATAAACTGACAAAATGTTTTTGACAATCTCAAAAACATTCTGTCAATTGACCACTTTTTGATAACTTCAACAAAAAAAGAAGAGAAGAAAAATTAACAAGAAGAAAAATTACCGTAAACACTCTAAAATAAGGACAACCTACACTTGCACTTTGAGCTCAATTATCTCATTTTCTGCCAAAGATATCAAAAAGTTGTCAACTGATAAAATGTTTTCACAATATCACCAACAATTTACCAGTGAACAAATTTATGGTATCTTTCATGAGTATTGAAATAATCGAGCTTTAATTGCAAGTAGGGTGGTCTTCTGTCATTGCGTTTACGGTAAGCAAACGTTACCAAGGTGGTGCCCAACTATTAGAGGATTCACAGTATGAAAAAAAGTTTCATGCGTTAGGTTTATGCGTTGCTGTATTTCTTATGATTGACTAAAAATATCGCATCATTATGAGAAGGTAAATTAATTAAATCATTTATTTACACACAGAACTAATCGTATCAGAATGAAATACATGAGATCAAAACGCGAATATGACAGTGCAACGATTCCCACTAATACACAATTTAGACTTTAGTGTTTTCATCCTCCTTTATTTCTTCGATCCAGCTATTCTCTTCCACTTTTTTCTCTAGAATTGGAGTAACTTTTCCTGTTTCTCCAACCGGCTCCAATTTTGCTGATGTTCTACCAGTACCAAGAATTGCTTCAATCAACATTTTTTCCAATCTAAAACAAAATTTGATTAGCATTATTAACAAAAGGATGACTCACTTCAAAGTTGGAATCTCAAAAAAGCAACTCCAGAAGAATGCAAAGATGTAGGAGAGAAGTGTTGCTGGGATGGAAGTGTAGGTGAACTGAAAGGGCAAAATAATCAAAAAGTCTCGTTATCTTATCACTTACCACTTCCCACGCTGAATAATAATGAATTGGGTGACCACCAACGTTCAAAAAGTAGAATAGAACAACCCAATGAACAATGTATGCACAGTAGGATAGTCTTCCGAATGGTTGCCACATTGGATGAGACATGAAATTGCTGATTGGTCCTCCCCATCCCATGTGATTTGCTGCAACTACCCAGCAAATAAAAATTCCCCATCCCAAGCGGTGGAAATTGTAGAATGTGGCCCTGGTGAACACGCTCCAGTGAGATCCTTTATCGTAATCATAAGTGGCGAATAGACAGAATGCGGCTATCACAAATGCCACAAGCCATGCAGCAACACACACCGCCCAGTTTAGTCGGATTTTCCGATTTCCATAGACTCCAAGCAGATAGCCAGTAAGCATTCCAACAAGATACGGTGGACATCTGATCCATGGTTTGTTATAAGCGATAGTAAAGAAATCTTGGACATCGCCATTTCCGAACATATCAGCTGATAAACCATAGATACCAAATACGATGTATGTTGTGATGATACTTCCTACGCAACCAGCCACAATGAGACCGGTACCAGCGGCAAATGAGAAATAGAGACCGATCAAGACAATTGGAGCAACCAGGTACAGTTGGGTGTCAGCAGCTAGATACCAAGTTGGTGCGTAGCAAGTCATATCTTGAGGGAAATTGTTGATGTAGATCAAGTTTTGCCACCAATTGGTTTTACAGGATTCCGCTTGAGCTGCTAGTTGATCTAAAATGATTTTAAATTTTGAATTTGGATTTTTGAAAGTGGGATGTAGTAACTTACTCATTTGGGATGCAGAAAAGGATCCTTGGATGTATGGGGCGTATACTGTGAAGAAGCCAATGAACAACATGATTGGGGGAGTGAGTCTCAAGTAGCGATGAACGTAGAACATAATCCAAGTGACTGGATTAGCAACCATTCTTTTCTTCGGCTTGGTTTTGAAGAAAAGATATGTCACCACGATTCCAGATAACACGAAAAACGTATCAACGGAGACGAAGGCATTCAGAAGAAGATGATTCCAAAAGTGTTTTGGAAAGTCAATAACTGGCATGAAGGTGTCCGAAAAAATGAGATAGATGAATGAGTGACCAGTTACTACCCAGCACATAGAGAATAACCGGATGCAGTCGAGGGATTTGATGAATCCAGGTTTTTGCTCTTTTACGGAGAGCAATAGTTCGGCATTGGTCCAGAAGGAAAACGAAAGGAGAATCTTGAAAAGCAAATTTCTCTCTTTATCGGACTTGAGTCCATAGACAGTGTCCCTGATGTAGTCTAGAGTTGTAGCAGCCAAGGCAATGACAATCATAACAATCATGAAAATTCTGAAACAAATTTCACATTTTTTGAGAGCCCCTATGCACTTTTGGACTTACGTGAATCCCCAAAACGGGGTATCCTTCTCAACCTCAAACTTCGCACAGTAAGCTGAACAAGCTGTGAATGGATATGGAGAAAGCTGGTTGAAGATGTTCACCATATCCTGATGATCACAAGATTCCGGCAAGCAAACTGCAATTCTAATGGGGAGCATTGACAGTAATCCACCAGATGTCGAGGAACAAGATGCATTTTTTCCAGGTGTCAAAACTAGATAACAGTAGTTGGTGTCGTATTTTTTGCCGCTAACTCTATTGCACTCTTGGTAAGATCCATCGTAAAGTGTGGCAGCTTCCAGCATTCCGGGTACCGGGAACTTTCCGAATGCATCGAGCTCTAGAGTTTTGATTTTACTAATTAAATTTGAGAATAATACTTACCTTGAATTGCATATAAATTATTCTCCAGAATCTTGAGTTCCTTTGTCGAGCAGTTCTGCTTGGCAAGACATCCTTCGGATACTGTAGCAAAAATAGCCAGCGATTCAATCCAGGTAGTTGTATCATTCAGACATTGATTCGATAGATCATGCAATGGCTTTGGTTTGAAAACATCCTTCCAATCGGAAGAATAAACACTCGAAGTGCATAATAATAGAGTAGCCAATGATAATAGAGAAATCATGTCTAGCCTGTCACAAACCCCAGACCTAAACCTTTTATAGTTCATTTTACTTTTTGAATAACATCATAGCATTGATAAATGAAAAAGCAACTGATAAAAAAGTGTTTCCCTGATTCATTCAATGAGTGGGCTCCTCCACGCATTGTGACTTGTAAAGTCACAGAATCACCGGAAAGAGGCTGTAAATCACACGAAGAGGAGCAATCAGTCGATGAAATTTCTATAGATAAGAAGATTCTAGAAAGGAAATACTTCATCAACATCAAAGAACTCAATGGACTCCAGGTGCGAAGTACGAAAAGTGGAGAGTGTGAGCATAGTTTTTGTGCACAGAATGATTTATTGGCATTACTACTTTTCAGACAGGAATACATTGTTAAGATGATGTGATATGTAGGTAGGAAAAAACGGAGTTTGTGTCTAAATCTTTTGAAATTTATGATAGTCATTTTTAAATTTATAACCGGTTTCAGGGCTCCCCAAACAGGATTTATTTCCAAGTTACCTTATAGACTAATAAGCTCTTCAAGCTATCATTTTTAAGCCGATATATCTTATTTCGTGTAAGAGATATCAGAAAGTTGTGAACTGACAAGTTGTTTATCATAATGTCAGAAGTTTTTCATCAGTTGTTAACTTTTTGATATCATACACAGTAATCGAGATAATTAAGCTAAACTTGACAAGTTGGTGGCTCACAGGATTTCCGGCATATGTAAGTTTCAAGTGATTTTTTTTTCAATTTTCAGAACCATCTTCTTTTAATAAACTCCATATTTATCAAATCTGTTAACTGTTGGCTACTTTTCGAGTACTGTTCTAAATTTTTTGTTTTCAAACTCCGTCATATTAATTACAAGTTATTGTCCGCATCTGTATAATTACATCATTAATATCAGTCTGCATAAAACACACTTTCTTATCATAAAATTCAAAAATACAAATCATATTTTGATATGAACTGTCTAAGCTGCTACAATGTCTTATCACGACTTTTTCACTCTGGAGTAGACGCTCAGAATGATGTCACCGACTAACTATGATGCTCTAAGGAAATGACTAATTTTTTGGTGGCGGTGGGACATTAAAAATCAATTGTCTTCAACTTTTGATCGTGGAACTCATTGAAGTGCTTTTGAACTTTCGAAAACTTTTAAAATTGTTAAAATTGATAAATCTTCACAAACTGTTATAATCATTATTTAAAAAAACTAGAAAAACCAAAAACAAAGTGGAAAAACAATGTTTCAAAGAAGAAACATAAAAATGATAACAGTGTCCAAATTCTCAGAAAAAAAAAAACAAATCAGTAACCTATCAGAAGTGAGTAAGCAGAATCGAGATTTTCAAACAACATCAGAATTGTGAGGTTAAAAAAATAAATTCGTGAATCTAATAACACCGGTAATTGGTTTGTATAGATATAAAGAGAAACGAAAGAGGTGGAGAACAAGCTTGATATGGTACAAACAAATGAACATTAAAATTTCCAAACGGACCAGATGTGGTACTATAACCAGGTGAGCAAAAAACAAAACACGGAAGAGAGGAACGTGGAAGAGAGGAGCGCACAAATAATGAAAAAATTAGACTTCTCGAAAAAAAAAGAATTCGGTAGGGACACATTAGAAGTGAGCATAGAAGAGATTTTTGAAGATAATGAAAATAGTGAGAACAAAAAATGTGTGAATCTAGTAATGATAAAACCAGTACTTGATTAATATTATGAGCGTGGGGAATGAGCTGGATATTGTACAGAAATTGATACTAGAATGTCCAAACGGACTGGCAAGTTGGCGGGACTAGCGTGTAAAGGCAAATCTGCTAAAGGGAATCGGACCCAGTCGCTTATCAAAAACCACCAGAATAAGCCTAAGGTTAAAAGACAGGCGATTTCACATGGACAAATAAAAGGGGGGGGGGGGACAACGGAAAACGTGAAGGAAGAAATGCCAAGATGTTAGGAATTCTTGGGGGAAATGAAGAACTTGTAGGTACATATCAGAAGTGAGTGCGGTACATATCAGGAAGTGAGGGACATATCAGAATGGGCAAGAGATTTTTGAAGAAAATCGGAACTATATTATCCCGAACGCGAAATCAACCAATTAGTCACAAGTCAAGAGAAGGAGCAAGACGGGAGGTCAATCGGAGTAAGAGAACATGGAAAAGAAGAAAAGAAACATGACGCGTTAGAACTGCGCGGATAAAACTTCTACACAATGGAACTGCTGTGAAATAGGACGGGAAAAACACAACTGAGCGGATAGAACAGGAGCGAATGGGGAAGAGAGGGATACTGGAAGAGAGTGGAAGCTATCGTAACCCGACCACAAGATTAAACAAATAGTCATGGACCCAGAGACAAATCCGGGAAGAACGTTAATCGGGGAGCACCAGAAAAGTGGAAAGAAGGAGAGAGATCGTGGATTAGGAGAAGAGAAACGCGTCACATTAGAGCCACACGGAATCGGGGAAAAACAAAACTGAGCGAAATATGTGGGATCGAAGTGAGTGGGAACTAGAGATATTTTTTTGAGATAAGCGAAACTGAAAAAATGATCATCTTCAGTCGTCCATTTCGTCTTCGATCTCGCCAGCAGCAGTATCGTCTGGCACATCAGGACCAACCGGCTCGTCTTCTTCATCATCCTCAAATTCACTGCCATCTGTGTGATACACGTCATTCTCGTCGAATTCTTCATTCACTGGCTTTTGAGGTTCTGGAGCGGTGGTGATTTCCTCAATTGCCAAGAGATTTTCATTCTGGAAAAAAAACATTTTGGTACAATATTAAATTAAATATGGGAATTACCAAATCGAATGCTTGAATCATGGAATTCAAGATCTCCCCTTTTTCCTGTCCAGTGTAGAAATCTCCCTCGACTGTTCGGACTCGATCCTTCAGATTCTTGACAATGACGGCGGCAATTCTCGCGTTCTCTGAAAGTTGGTTGTATTTCATAACATATTAATTTCCTTATTTATATGCACATAATGGGCTTAAAACTAACCATCATTTCTCTCTTTTGTCACCAGATTCTCGCCGTAGAAGAACCACGAATCCCAGTAATGGGCCATCATGCTCCCCAATCCGATGATCCGTCTTCTTAAGCAGTAGCCTTCAAAGTTTCGCATCCTGAAATATCAGAAGTAGTACAGTATCAATAAGATATAAAAAAAATTCTGTTGATTTTGACAATTTTCAAGAGTTTGGAGATCGATTGTCAAGTGTCCGATCACTTTGAAAACTTCAGAGGGTGTAAAATAGACTTATGATGAAAACTTTGCATTCACAGAATTTTTGAAAATTCCTTCTTAAGCTGATTTCTGAAAGATTTTATCTTTCTACCTGTTTTTGTATTAAAAACGTAAAAAATGATGGTCTCCTTAAAAAGTGGCAAATAGCTGAAAAACTAAGAATTTTCTAGAAATTCTGTGAATGCAAAGCTTTCAACATAATTCTGTTTACACCCTCCAAGTATTCAAAATGACAGCCAAGCACCAGACTTCTGAAAATGGTCAATATTGTAGGTAACCAACTTACTTGAAGGAAATCTCCATGCTTTGCAAATCCGTCGTCAGGTAGTTTCCGGCATAAACCAAAGAGTCTTCCGGCGTGTATACCAAATGAAGGCAGCCGGCTGGAAGAACGACCGACTCTCCTGCTCGCACTTCCACTCTTCGCAGCTCGCTCTTCAACTCCTTCAGGATCCAGGACTGTGGTCGTCTCGCAGCCATCCAATCCGTGTAGATCTCCAAATTCTCCGGTGTACCCAGGGCGATGAAGAAGACCTTGCGGCCTTGCTTCACATGGTAGTACACCCATGTGCCTCCCATGTCGCAGTGGAGACTCATGAAGGCTCCCCCGACCGACATGATTATGAATTGCTCGACGGCAGCCATTTGGTCTTTCCGGTTCTTCCACGCGTTGATTTTTTCATTAGCATCTTGCTTCTGCTGCTGAGTGATCTTCCTCCTTTTTTCCTTTCTCCATCCGTCCAAATTTTTTGAGATTTTCTCCTTCACTTGGTACAAGACACTTTCTTTTTCACAAATTCCGGTTGATCGAACGATCTCCTGTAATGAATTCAGGTTGAATTGCAATCTAATATAGTTATCTAACATTTTGTCAAAGCTGACTTCGTGAGAAACCAGATTCAAACGGTCATAACTTTGCTTCTCTTTCCTTCTTTTCATTTGATCGAACATATTTCTCAACGTTGCTGTAACCGGTTCCTCTTTTCCATTTATGAAATACCGCATCTCTTTTTGGTCTAAAATTTGTTTTTTTAAGTTTATATATCTTTCTTGTTAAAGCTTACTGAATTTTTTTCCCACTGTTTCCAAATCATCGTCGGGAATATTGAAGTTCCACCCATCAATGGACATGATCTTGTAGGCGCGTGTCCCTTGGAAAAGATTCTTTTTGAGGAAGAACTCTGAACCATTCGCGCACATCTCGACGTGACCCTCCACACTGCAAATTGATTGTTTCAAATTAGTCAAGAAAATATTCGCAACCTCACCTTTGAGTGTACAGCCTATCGTGGTTGTCCTCGAGGAACTTGTTGAAGTTTGGCCCATGAATTCGGTATGAAGTGAATTTATCCTCCAGAGGTGTCTCTGGAGGACATGTCCTCTCAATTTCTTCTTCCTCCAGCGCATCTCTTCTTTTCTCTTCTTCACTCGGCTTCGGAAGGCGGAAGCGAGGAGGTTGGCTGGCATCCACTTCAGTTTTCTTTGATTTCCTACTTGTTACGAATTTGTTTCTGAAAAAACGAGAAAAGGTAATTGAATTCTTCAGAGAGAAAAAAAACTGACCCTCCTCGTTTCCTTTTTCCGCTTTTTCCGGTCGCTTTTTTGTTGAGATTCCCAGTTGGACGTGCGACGACAGACTGGTCAGCGTTGTGCTCCTCTATCGCGTCCGGCTCTTCCAGCTGCTCATCTTGATGAACAACTCCCTCGGCATTCGGGAGATCATCCACGGCTGATTCTTCGTTTGTACCATTTTGAATAGCCTGCTGACTGGGACTTCGGTCTTTCTTCTGTTCCTGATCCTGCTCCTTATCCTCATTGGTCTTTGGAATCTCTGAAGGAGCTTGCAGTGCGGAAATTTCGTTTCCATTCAAGTTTTCGACGTCCTGAATCTCTGGAATATTCTCTTCCTCGATCGAGCCGCCTTCAGAGTCCCCATCTTTTGCTTGCTGCTTAGTTCCTTCTTCTCCGAGCATAATTCTTGAATCTTCGTTTACCGGGACTGGGTCCAAGTCAAGCTCGCGAATTGGCACGAAGGGAACTTTGTTTCCAGTTTGTCTGAAATTAGAACAATATGAAATTTACTGAAAAGCAATACATATGTTTTTGTTCTAAGGCCATATTCATGAACATTTTCTTTTCAAAAATCTACTGAATCATTTTCCAATGCATTTTTTTTACTAAGCATCTTAAAAATGATTTTTAAAGGGTCAGAAAATGGATTTTGAATTGAAAAAAAAAACGTTTGGAATGCAAAATTCTTATATTTGGTTGCAGTACTTGAATTTCCTAACTCTATCCATTGATGTCATTTTTATAAATAAAATCATAGATTTTGAGATGAGGAACAGCAAAATTCCGATGTACTTGATATACTATTCTTTCCTCATATTATTTTATTAGAATCCCGAAATTCGTAAAATCGAGTGTACACATGGAACACGATTGGTCCAAGGAAAAAGAAAGATTTTCCAAAAAAGAAACGATTTTTCATTAATTTACACACTTTTTTAGTTGATTTTCTGAGAAAAATATTCATAAATATGGCCTCTGAACAATCTGATTATTTAGAAAAGTCACAGAGACCACAGCAAAGCATAATTATCAGTTTTTGATAGTATTTCTACCGTTTCTGTTCCAACAGAAGCCTACCCTATACATGCACTTTGAACTCAATCATCTCAATTCTTATAACAAATATCGGAAATCTCTCAACTAATAAAATGTCAGTGATGTTATGATAAATAATTTTATTGTTGACAATTTTCCGATACCATTTGAAGGAAGCGTGGCAATTGAGCTCAAAGTATACGTATAGTAAGAGCTTCTATGAGATCGAGTACGATATTTAATTTTCAATTCAGTAACAAAACAAACTGACCATGGTTGGTCATCGTATCCAAACTCCTGTCCATCGTTTGAAGATTGGGGTTGATCTACCAGCATTTGATCGTTACCTCCCTGCTCTGTCTCAGCTGGCTCCAATTCTTCATGTTCTTCTGGCTCAATCACTTCAATCTTTTCCTGTGGATGTGGTACCACTTCGTACTCTTCAAGCTGCTCAATGCCCTTCCCGTTTTCCTTAACCTTTGGCTGCTGTTGTTCCTCTTCTTCCTTTCCGTTGTCTTCTTCATCTTCTTCGTGTTCTCTCTCAGCTTGTTTTTACCCTTCTGGCTGATCGACTCCCTGTCCCAGTGCATTTTGTGTGATTTGATTCTCTTCTAGCTGCTCAATTCCCTTTCCATTTCCGATAACCTGGAGCTGCTGATGTTCCCCTTTTTGTTTTGGCTGTCCCTCAATATTTTTTGACTGTTCATCTCCTTTGTCCTCTTCCTCTTCGATTTCCTCGATTCCTTGATCTTCTTCATCCTCTCCTTCGTCTTCATCTTCGTGTCTGAAATATAAATACTTCGAATTAACGCAAAACTCTGATTAGTTCATAAATTTAAAAATATCCTTCACCAAAATCAGGAGGATATTATTCGCTATTTTTTATCGTTTTCTGAATTTGACTAGCAATTTCTAGTTACTTTCTAAAAACCTGAAATGGACTTGATGCAATGAAAAATGAAAAAAAAAGTATTTTTCTTTCCGATAATGTTAATTTCTTAATTTTAAAAAAGTATTTTTCTTTTCGATAATGTTAATTTCTTAATAACCAACTGCTTTGGCTCTCTTGCGTTTCCGAGCGTTTCTCCGTCATCTTCCATTCCATCTCCGGCACGATCAGCACTACGGTCGGTTGCCAACTTTCTTGAGCTCCTCGGCTGATTGCCACCACTCTGATGGACCGTCGCTGAAAATTTAAAGATTTTAAGATTTTAACACAACATATTTTATATGTTCCTTTTCCGGTTATAATATGAATTTCTGAAAATAAAGTGTTTTAAAAAAAACTTACTTTGCTTTGAACTTCTTTGGGTTCGGTTCGCTGTTGTGGCTGTCCTCGTCGTCGTCATCATCGCCGTCATCATTGTTGAAGTCTTTCCAGATGAAATGACTGAAAACTCTTGGTTTGTTGACTACACCTCCACTTCTAACTTACTCAGCCTCTTCCATTTCTTTTTCCAACAACTGGGCAAGAACTTTCATTTCGTCGGCAACCTTCTTGAACATGTTCATTTGTTTCGAAGCATTTTGAGGGATGTTCCCAAGCATTTCGAGAAGGTTCTCAATACGTTCACCCGCGGACCGGATAGTTTTGATGGCCTCGTTGACGTCTTTCTTGACGACGGAAAAGAACTTTCCCAAGCTTTCGGAAATAGTAGTTGAGAAGTATTCGAAAAGTTCATCCTCCTTTTGTTCTTCCGAATAGATTTTCTTGCGATAGCTCATCAAAACAGTGATACCCTTCTCATTCTTTACCAGCGATTTTGCGATTTCCTTCATTTTCTTTCCCACACTCTTCTTTCTTTTCTCATCAACAACCTAAAACTATGAATTTTTGAGGGAACATATGTATTGTAATGTCACAAACCGGCGAGACAACCACTTTTGGCAGCGGATCGGCGTTATTCGAAGTTCCAGACATGTCGTAGTACGAGTTTGCTTTTTAATGCTAAAATGAGAATATCATTGGAAAAATAATACAAAAGTGAGTATTCAAACGTTAAGCAAGCAGAAGAAAGAAGGATCACTATGAGAAATAGAAAAGAAAAATGTGTCCAAAAGTTGTAAAGATCTGAATGTGCCTACATATTTTGTCATTTGTAAAAATATCTGATTGTAACAATTGTGAGCTACGGTTCCTCATTGGATTAACGTGTTTTAAAAGAAAACAATTCAAAAAGCAAAGAGATAAATAAATGGTTTCACTAGATTACTGTAGGTCACCAAGAAAACGGAAATAGGAAAAAAGAGGGAAGATGATGACATCATCGGCAGACATTAGTTTGAGTGTAGTAAGTAAGGGGGAGGAAGAAACAGACTAGACATACGGTAGGAGGCGTGGTTAATCGTAACAGGCGGACATGAATATCAAGTTACTTTAGGAGGGTGTAAGCATATTAGGGGAGGTATCAGTGTAATTGGATAAAAAATTCTTGCGTCATAGAAAGAACACATCGCCAGAGACGTTTTTCCTATTGCCAGATATAGGTCTAGTAACGCCAGGTGTGCATTTCTGGGAGAGGGGATTGGATCCGGACCGTAGCCAACATAAGCCCTTTTTATCCAAGCGGGGGGTAGGAGGAGTTAGTACGGCAGGGCGCGACAGTTAGAGTTGCGCAATTAAATTTCAAAAGTGCAACAAAACCGAAAAAGTGCAGAATGGGGTCGGCGACATGAAAGTTGGGAAAAGGGCGCAAAAATGGAGAGTTTGACTCATAACAGTAGTAACGAAATGAAATGTCAAAAGTAATGAGAATAAAAGACGGTGGGAATTCAATTTGAATTTGAATTCTACAGTATACCTAACAACATTGTGAGAAATCTGAAAGTCTCGAGAAAAAAAAATGGAAAACGCGATTCATTTTTCAAATTCTGGTATTCGATGGTTAAAAAATAGTGTACTAATCAGTTCAGAGTCCATAATTTAAATGTTCAAACTTTGAAACTTTAGCATTAATTTCAGACAGTAATGAAAACGTTTTTTTTCGGGAATGAAGGAATCTTCTTGATGACCTGATTGGTTGGTGGCACAATTATGGACAATTATGGTTGGTCGCCATCTTCACGAGAAAAAATGAAATTACTTACAAACTGTGAATAGAAAATATGCCTATTTGCAAAATCAGGGCCCGAAGATTTTCAGGGCCCGGGCCGGCCCGGGGCCGTGACTCCTCGGCCCGGCCCGGCCCTGCGGGCCCGGGTTTTCCAAATTTGAAAATTTTTTTCTTGACAGAGAAATCGTCCATTTTTCAGTTGACCCAAAATTTTTTTTTGAAAAAACAGGAAAAATTTGTTCCTGAAAACCCGGGCCCGGGAAATTCTTTAAAAAAGCCCGACCCGTTGCAAGTATGAAATTATGTAAACTGGTGTTATTTTGATGAAGCCGGCCAGAGCACGAACGAGTGAGATGGAGAAAGGTCATAGAATGAAAGACATCAATCAAAAATTGAAAACTGGGAGTATAGGAAAACTAGGAAGAAGAAAAAAAGAAAATAACCATTGTGGATGAAATCACACTAGAAAGAGAGGACAATGAATAACATGGGTGCATCAGACGATTGATTTTGCCTAAGAAATTGATTTTATTATTGACTATCACCATGACCGCTTTCAATTCAAACTCCGGCAGTCCGAAGCTCGGCTGTCAAGTGTCGGATCACTTTGAAGGTCACGGATGGTATAAAACTGACCTCAATCAAAAACTTTGCATCCACGAAATTTTTCGGAATTTCCTAGTTTTTCATTTACTTTTCCATTTCTAAAGGACACCTTTTTTACTGTTTATACAGAAAATGGCAGAAGAGATAACCAGTCATTATCCGCTTTCTCTTGAGTCAGATATCAGTAATGAGACAGTTATATCAGTAATGAGACAGTAAAAGGTTTTGATGTACTTTCTTTTCTTTTTTTGCACCAGGAGTACTTAATCATTTTTCTCAAGGTTTCTAGGGATACTGTAGATTTCAAATTCTGTTTCCTTTAATTTCAGGCCAAAGTCTATTAGAGAGCTGCTGAGAGAAACAGGAACAGAGAGAACAAAATGATGACATAATCTCAACAGACATCAATCGGAGTGATACAAAACAGGGAGAGGGAGAAACAGAAGGTGGGAGGCGGGGCAAACTACCCACAACAGGCGGATACAGATATCAAGTTACTTTGGAAGGATATAAGCATATTAGGAAGGGTGTTAGTGTAATTAGATACAAATTCTCGCATCATATGTATAAAGACCATATCGCCAGACGTGCTTTTGGTGTGAGAGAGACCGAATATGAACCGTTCTATTCTAGGTGTAGTAAAGAGTTCAAATTTGAGTTATATGCGGAGTTCGTATGAAAGGACGAAACAGGTGAAGTTGCGCAGTGCACTGTCAAAAGCGCAACACAATAGAAACAGCGCAGAATGAGGTCAGCAATATGACAGTTGGTAAAAAAGTACAAAATTGGAATTTGAATTCTACAGTAAACCCAGAAACGTTGTAAAAAATGTTGGTAGTCGTCTTGCAAAAATAATAGGGGAGAACATCATCCAACCTTTCTTGCCCGATCACGGAATAATCTTTTTCACAATTTACTTTCTTTGTAGTTCTTGTCGTTACTAAAAAACTTCTAAAATCGAAATCGAAGCTAATATTTCAAAATTTTGAAATTCGAATAATTGACTCTGAATTGACTCTGACAGTATTCATAAGCTATCTACCGTAAGAACTCAATACCATGACGTTCGTTCAGTTTTTCAGAGTACAGCTCAGAGAACGTTCTATTAGAGGGTTGCGTTCAATTAGGAGGGGCTATATATTAGTGTGTTTACGGTAAGTCTTATTTTAGCTGTCTTTTTTGTCGCAGTCTGCTGAGAAGAATATGTTTTCAGTTCTGCATTTCTAAATGTTTCTTGTGACCTCCCGAATTTTTCCTGAATTTTTTAACCGAAATTTTTCCTTTCTTCTCGATTTTCGTCGTTTTTTATATAACAGTTATCCACAACTGATATCTTTCCACCTGCGATGCAAAAACAAATCCACGTTTTAGTTCCCAAATTTTTATTTAATAAGAGTTGTTTCCAGTTTTCAACTAGGTAAAAAACGCCAAATAGGGGGAACACTGAATGTGGTATAAAAGAAAAGAGGTGCATTTTAAGAAGAACAAGAGTATTCGAAATGATAAGAGAGAGGTGGGGGAACAAATGAGATCTGATCTCTGAGAGTTTAACTCGTTATGAAAACTGAAGATTATTATACTCTTTGGGAGAAAAAAAAGTAACTCTTCTGTGAGTATAACAAGGAAGCGGGGGAAACAAAAAAAAGTGATCTCTGGGAATTAACATTGTAAGAAAAAGGTAGGCTTCGGGAAAACATTTGAAAGTAACGCGAGGACAAGTTCCGGTTACTCTTTCATGAGCCCTGCGGTGACGGCGAAGACGCTGGGCTCCTTGAGCTGCTCGTACACGTAGTTTGGATACTGTTTGTGCTCTAATCCGGTGCATTCGGGACTGAAGCAGTAGTGACATTTGCCATAGTTGACCTCATAATTGTAGTCCCTCATACGGAATGAAACCAGTGGAAGAATGGCCTCAAGCACCTTGCACGACGAAGCAAAATTAGACTTCCATCCCGGATCGACATTGAATGGAACATTGCGGGACTGAAAAAAAAATCGATTTTCATAATTGCAACCCCCCCTGTAATAGAAAAAAAATGGAACAAACTCAAGAACACTTACTAAATGTGAAGGAAAAAAGTAAATTATAGAACTTACGCCAGCGATGCACTTCAATGACTCATTGATATTAACAAAGGTGCCATTGTCAAGGATTCGTTTGGTCACTTTCGCAAGGAAGGAGCAATCGTCCATGGCGTTGTGAGCCTGTCCCTCGTTTGGAATGTTGTAGAATGCCGACATCCTTTCGATTAAACTCTGAAAATTTTCGAGTTTAGCTAACTTTCTGCATGCTACGAGTTCAAGAGCTCATCACGAAGAACACGTTGTGAAATGGAATCAACTAACCTGATGAACAGCGTCCTGTTGTTGTGCCATACGAAGATCTTGTCTGTAGTACAAACTAAGATTCACCCATTGACGAAAGATTGTTGGAAATGGCTGCTTGTTTAGGAGGAATTGATATTGGGCGAGTCGCCACATGTCCTGGCGACTATCGCAAACGATCGCGAAGCGTTTCTCTTGGAAGTCATGCTCTTTGAGCCATGCACAGAACTGATTGTAGACTTCTGGAAACGTTCTGGCGTTGTCGATGGTATCCTGATCGATACCTGTAAAAATTTTATTTTGTGAAACTTCGAAAAACAAAATTATGTACCTGTCAACTCGGCGCAAAAATCAGTAAGTTTTGGATTGATAACTGGTCGCACATACTTGTTGAACGACACGTCCTCTCTCTGAAATTTATTAATTTACAAAATTTCATTTGAATTTATGACTCACGATAATTTTATCTCTTGTATTCAGCACACAGACACTGAACTGGATGATTTCGCTCGGGTAATCATGATCATCCTTCTCGCAGGTTCCCTCGAAATCCAAGATCAACAAGTTGTCAAAGTGGCAGCGGTATTCGGACGACATGATTTACCTAAAACAAAATCGATTTTTTGAAATGGAAAGTACGTCAATAAAGATTAGAAAAGATGCATGAAATTTGTTTTCTTAGTGATATGTGTATTGGAAATAGCTACGCTCACACGCTTTCTGGCGAAAGACAACATCTAAAACATTATCAGAAAGAACATTCAAGGAAAAAACGCAAAAAGTCGAGGAAGGGAAAAAAATCGATCGGTGGTCAACTAACTCTTACGAGAAGGAGTAGAGGAAACACAGGGCCGAGAAGACCAGAAAATGGAAGCGAAAATGAGAAAACTTCGGCCATGGAAAGCGCGTTATTTACGCGCCGGCAATTGGCGCGTACACACCGACGACACATTGCGGACTATTGATTATGCGACCTCCTCTGCAGCAGTCGTCGACACTCGACTTCTTCCTCTTGTTATTTATTCAATTTCTGGTCGATTTTTTTGATAATCGGTCTCCATCATTTTGAATGCGTGCTTTTTTGTGTTGTTTGTGTTTGTCTTTTTTCTTACCTTTTTCGAGAAGATTTCACAATCACTAGCATTACAAGGCGTTTTATGCCACTTTTCTAATCTTTATCGAAATCTTTTCTATTTTGAAAAATCGATTTTTTTCAGAAGAAGCATGTCATCTGATTACCGCTGTCCCTTCGACGATTTGTTGATTTTGGATTTCGAAGCGACGTGTGAGAAGGATAACTATGACTACCCTCCGGAAATCATTCAGTTCAGCGTCGCTGTGCTGAATACAAGAGAAAAAATTATCGTGAGTTTACGCTTCAAAATTATTCAAGAACAAAGATGAATTTCAGAGAGAGGATGTGTCATTCAACAAGTACGTGAGACCGGTTATCAATCCACAACTCACTGATTTTTGCGCTGAACTCACAGGTATCAGTTTAGCTTTTCAAACTTCCACAAAATGAAATTTTCGCAGGTATCAATCAAGATACCATCGACAAGGCGGACACATTCCCAGAGGTCTACGACCAGTTCACTGCATGGCTCAATAAGCACAACATCCAAGAGAAGCGTTTTGCTTTCGTTTGCGATAGTCGCCAGGACATGTGGCGGTTCGCCCAATATCAATTCCTACTGAACAAACAGCCACTTCCAACTATTTTTCGTCAATGGGTGAATCTTGGCCATCTCTATGAACAAGACTTTCGTAAGGCACAACAACAGGACATTTGGGGCCCGGTTAGTTGATTTATTTTTTTTAGCTTGTAAATCGTGATGTGCTTGTGTCCACAGCGTGATCGCAAACAAGCAGAAAGTTAGCGAAAAGCAAGAATTTCCCAATTTCCAGAGTTTCATCGAAAAGATGTCTGGTTTCTACAACATCCCTTTCAATGGACACAATCACAACGCCATGGACGAGTGCGCTTTCCTAGCTAAAGTCACCAAGCGTGTTCTCGACGATGGAAATTTGGTTAATATCAACGAGTCGTTGAAGTGCATCTCTGGCGTGAGTTTTAGATCTCGATGTTTCTTAATAAACATTTTTGTTTTCAGCCGCGCAATGTGCCATTCAACATCGATCCAAAATGGAAGGCCAGTTTTGTTTCGTCGTGTAAAGTCTTCGAAGCCATGCTCCCACTTGTTGCGACCCGTACCAAGAGATACTATATCGTGGATAACTACGGAAAGTGCCTCTACTGCTTCAACGCCGATTGCACCGGAACGGACCACAAGCAGTATCCAGGATATTTGTACGAGCAGCTCAAGGAGCCCAGCGTCTTCGCCATCACTGCAGGACTTATGAAAGAGTAGCAGGAATTTGTACCCGTGTTACCTTCTTTCTCTCAAAGAGTATAATAACCTTTAGTTCCCATACCAAGTTAAACTTTCAGAGATCAGATCTCTTTTGGTTCCCCCGCCTCTCTGTTATCTTTTCAAATACTCAACTTGTTCTTCTTAAAATGCACCTCCTTTCTTTTTTTACCGCATTCAATGTTCCCCCTAATTGGCGTTTTTACCTAGTTGAAAACTAGAAACAACATTTATTAAATAAAATTTGGGAACTAAAATGTGGATGTTTTATTGCAGCAGAAGAGAAATTGGGTTCAGAAGACATTTATACATAAAGTTGAAGAATTTGCAGGATAAAATAAGTCTTTTGGTTGAAATTAACCTTTCTCAGGTTTTTCTAGATTCGAAATAGTCTGTTGATACTAGCTATATAAATTGAATCGGTCGACCATCAGATTTTGAAGGTATTGAACGAGAATGAGGTTTATTTTGATTTTTTCCATTATTTTGAGAATGGTGTGACACAAGACCGATCATTATCGGGTGACTGCAAGTTAAAAATTTGCTTTTCGATTTTTTTCGAATAGAAAAATCATGAAAGGTGTGTGCTCATCTATCAGGTCAAGATTAGTGAGGTTATCGATTTCTTCAATCTCAGTGTCAAATTCCATATAACCCGGTAACGGAGAAAATGGTTTGTTGGGCGTGAAACCGATTTGGATTTTCATCCGTATTCTCAGGTTCCTTCAAATGTCATATAGCAAATGTTCAGTGCAGTGCAATCAAATCTCACCATAGACGTGTTTATTGGTAACTCGTCTTGTTCAGGAACTGTTTTGCTATTGGAATTGATTGCATAGTTGTTCAGGAAGCAATGGTTCTAATTGAGAGTTCGAAATCATCCATTGGCTCATAATACGAACCAAAAAAAAGGGGCCGTGTCAAAATGAAAAACTCTCCGGCCCGGCCCGGGCCAGATTCTGTGAAAAATTCAATCTGATTTTTTTCCGCCCAGCGTCTCTCCCTCTGTATTTCACTTCTCTGTCTAGAGATCATCCATCCCTTTTATGTTTTTGTTGCCATTTACAGTTCCCTCCTGTGACTTGTTTTCCTGCTGGTGTATCCAACATTCCCAATCTCACATTGTGCTCATATTAGATTCCTCCTAGCCCCATTCTCAATATTTTTGTTTTTTGAATGCGTTTCCACGTCCAAGTGACTGTAAATCCACGTGCCGACTTCCGACTTCCGACTTCCGACTTCCGACTTCCGACTTCCGACTTCCGACTTCCGACTTCCGACTTCCGACTTCCGACTTTCGACTTCCGACTTCCGACTCGCGACTTCCGACTCGCGACTTCCGACTTCCGACTTCCGTCAGCTTCCAAATTTCGCCAAGATTTCAACTTCCGCTCTAAAAACTAAATGTTCTTTTTCCCGATGTACTCTTGGATACTGGGCAGTTGAAATATGGAATATACAGCCAAATGTTCCGAAGTTAACTGGAATTTTTCAGAATACTTTGTCTGTTGTCTGAAATTATAGGCTTAGACTAAAAAGCTTCGTTACCTCTGTACTGAGAAATTCCAAAATGACACCAAATTCAAAAGAGTTGGATGCTAAAAAAACCTATACCTTACTTACATTAGCATCCAAATCAAAATTATTCTCAAGCAAACAAACAACAATCAGTCTTTGGCGTGCCAACGCCTGACGGTACGCCTAGCGTATGAATGCGCTTCTACGCCAAAAATTGAAAAGTTGAAAAGCAAGAGGTATTTTTATGAATTTTTTCTGAATTTTTTTAAAATCCAAAATAACCAACTAGAGCCGTATCAAGCCATTGTCCAGTTTCGTTTCATATGAATAAGTTCAATTTTCTTGCGGAAAGCTCGAGTTCTCGACTCTTCTAAAGAGCGGAGATGGTGGCACAGGAGTGAATTCGATTCATTTTATAATGGGAAATTATAAAACAATGGAAGAAAGGCCTTTGTCGTACAATAAAATTTCTGACGCCGCTACAAAGAGTATAATATTCCAATTTTGAAACTGATCTTGTAATTTGAAACACATCCTCTAGTTTCTTTGATTCCAGATCCATGTTTTCAGTTTTATCAAACCACTGTAATTTTTTTTACAGTAATACTTCATCGCGCGATTTTTATGTCTCTTTTTCATATTATCTTCTTTGAGCATTTATCTTGTTGCTTGTATTTCGATCATTCTCAGGACAATAAAAATAATGCGAAAAAGTTATCATCATCCCAGAAGAATGAATAGGCTAAAATATATCCCATTTTCAATTTCTGGCGCCCCACATGAGAACCAGACACCAACCATCCATGATTTCAGAAGCAGCGACCATCATCAGCATTTAAATCACAAGAACTGGACACTAGAATTCGTGGTGCTTGCGTCAATGTTGTTGTCTAATTGATGCAATAAACGTGTTTATTGTTTTTTCTCTCTTGTTACTTTTTTGACTGAAATTCAACAGTCAACGTAACAAATGTAGAGGCCTACGAAGTCTTATAATTTGCGAATGTCGCACTTCTTTTATATCCGTGCTTGTTTCAGTTTGCATCCGTGTAACTCAACTGATAGAATACAGATCACCTTCTTCTGAAATTCCAATAGAGCAAATACCGTGAGGCGTGCATAAGAAGGGCCAATGACATAGAAGGGCTTCGGTGATGGGAAGACTCTCCGGTGGTGCCTTGGGACAATAGAAGGGCCGACCCTTCTAATACATTTGAGGTGTTTTCCCGCGCGAAAAGAGGCGGAAATGACACGTGTTGCATAGTTGCGCTGTTGCACGCTGATCATATGTGTTATGTTTCCTCAATAGGCGCGCAGAGGGTCCCCTCAGTGTGTGTGTGTGTGTGCGGGGAGGCCGCTCTTCTTTATCATTCCTCTCTTCTTTTACCACACCATTAGTGTGTTATTGATTTTTGTTGATCGCGTTCTTCTTCGTTTTTCCATTCATTCCGTTTTTCCTTCATTGTTACTTCCGTTTTCTATGATTCTAAAAATGATTTTTTCACAGGTCAAGGGTTCCATACTCCCATCCGATCCTTTTGCTGCTCACAAGCCCTTCCTTCCAACACATCCTATACCTCAATATCTTCTGAATCGCTTCGCCCATCCGCTGTACTCCCATTCGATTTTGTCTGATCACCGCACCTTCCTTCAACACCTCCAACACGATCCACATCTTCGGAAGCGCTTCGATAATCTGAAATCACAATGAACGAGTAAGTTATCATGAATTTTTCATGCTTTTATAATTATGTGAAGCACTGTATATCTTATTTGGACGAGTCTAATACTTTAGTTCTCTGAAAATTGTGAGACAAGGCATTCGTGTCTTAATAATGTTTCGGATAAGTTGTTTTTTTTCAATGTGATATTTTGCAGACAAAACGAACACGTCGGCCACTTCCATCCAGGCAGATACCAAGCGACGAGAGAATTTAACGCAGCTGGCGTTCGCGGAACAGTCGTTTCCGTCGTCGACACATTCCACAACAGAGGTAGCTTGATCATGAAGTTAACTACGCTTCCCGAAGACTACCGTCGAGAATTGACGGTGTTGCAAGCCATGAGACAACACGAAGGCTTTCCAAATCTCTACGATTTCTTCACCCTTTCTGCACAAGATGGTGATGTACAGTATTTATTGAGTGAGTGATTGGAAATAACCATCCTTCTATCCTGAATAAAAATTCTAAACAATGCTATTTTTTCAGTCACTGAATACGAGGGAGAAAGTCTCCATGTCGTTTCTAGGCGCACAAAAGGAGGGATCTCCCACTCCAACCTGATGAGAATCGCCTTCAAACTGTTTTGGACATTGGAATCCCTTCACATGCAAGGTTTTTGCCACCGGGACATGCACGCTGCCAATGTCCTCATCCGACGAGAGTATGATGGGGTGAGTTATCGTTTACACTTTCAGTTTTTTAATGAATATATATTTTTTTCAGATTGTTCGCATCAAACTAATCGACTTCGGCATGTCTCTCCCACTAAACCCACCACCAATTCCACAAACTAATCTGACGTCGTGGCACGCTAGCTTTCAAGTGTGCCGGCACGAAGCTTACACCAGATTCGACGATCTAACCTCTGCTGTTTTTGTTGCGATGTGGTCCATTGATCTCAACCCGTTCGGCGATGTTCGGGATCAGTATTTCGCAAGAAAAGCAATTTTTGTGAGTAAAATTGAATGTATTCTTTGAATAATTACATTTATTTTCAGCATCGAGATCCATTTGTCCATTTCAACAACAATCTGAAATGGTTGGCGCTATTGTATTCTGAAATTGATTATCAAAGAACCGCAGGCTACTCGCACCATGATCTGTTTGAGATCTTCTACAGGTTCAACCCAGATTTCGATCCAACAAGCCCAATCACTCACGTCGTTACTGACAATCAGCTCATCATCGAATAGAAAGTTTTAAGGACCTCATCCCCTATTTGTAATTGCTCAAAATTCTACATGGCCTCTTTCAAGTTTCCCTCAGTTCAATTTTTGCCTCATAACTTTTTGAGTACAATGATACAAGGATCTCATTTCCTAGCTTTATAACTACGCAAATTTCCTCTGGTATTTTTTTCTGTTCTTTGATCTGTTCACAATTAAATCCTGATCTTTTTTCCGCCCAGCGTCTCTCCCTCTGAATTTCACTTTTTTGTCTAGAGATCATCCATCATTTTTATGTTTTTGTTGCCATTTGCAGTTCCCTCCTGTGACTTGTTTTCCTGCTGGTGTATCCAACATTCCCGATCTCTCATTGTGCTCATACTAGATCCCAATTAATTTTCGGTTAGCCTCTTGCCAATCAATACTTTCGCTTCGAGAATGAGTTTCCACGTCCCAGTGACTGTAAAACCACGTGTATTCTGAAAATTCCTCCCTCTCCAACCCTATCTTTCTTTTATACTTAAAAAAATTTGTTTTCAAAAAACCCCCCCCCCCCACCAACTCAGTATGAAGACTTTCAGAAAGTCTTCCTTATCAAATGAAATTTTTATGGGGTCTTATTTTGTTGAAACAATCAAAAACGGATGCGATAGAATTCGATTCATCAATCAGGCCATCGGCTATTGCAGCGTATCTTAGCCGCTAGACTAATTGTGAACTGATACAATATTTTTTACATCCTCTCCTGACTTGCTAACTATTTCAGTAACATGTTTGAAAAAAGAGGAATATGAGCGGAGCTTATCACTCTTCAGTTGTTTGAATATCGATTATTTAAATGAGAAGAGCCCAAAATTTGAATGAGTCCTATTTCATGATGGATCGCTGCGACGTCACAAATACTATCTCAAATCACTCATCAAGAACTCAACAAAAATATCTTCTCAATTTCTCTCTAATAGAGTAATCAGATGTTGGATATTTTTACCCGCCGAAGTGTTTCCGGTGAAGCCCTTGTCAGCGACTTTCAAAAATCGATTACTGCCCTGTCATCTAATGTAAACCATTTTCTTGTCTTAAATTACTAACTCAGCTTTTCCACCATCTCCCATTTACTACTAATTTATGTTTCTGTTATATCTTCTAGATTCATTTACATTTCAAGTGTTAGTGATTTTCTTCACTTCGTTGAAATAAAAAAATTAAAAATTAAAAATTGCTGTGGTGACAAGAAATAGTAACATATTGTAATTGATACTGAAAGAGTCAACGCTTTGACGCTTTGACCGTTCTCATCGGCTTCGTGCATTTTCCGAAGGACCAAAAAGCGGCAAAAATTGCTTTCAGGTCCATGTTCAGTGAAAAACTAAAAGTCGCAAAAATAAGAAATCCACGTTTTAGTTCCCAAATTTTATTTAATAAACGTGATTTTAAATTTTCAGCTAGGTAAAAAAGCGCCAAATAGGGGAACATCAAATGCGGTATATTAGGAACAAGGTAAATGTGAAAGTTGGGTATTCTACTCTTTTGAATGGACAGGGAGGCGGGGGGAAACAAATGAGATCTGATCTCTGACGGTTTAACTTGGTATAAGAATTAAAAATCATTATACCGGAACAAAATAAATTTGATCCCTGAGAATAAACACGGTAAGAAATAATACGATTTGGATTAGAATGAGATCTGATCTCTGAGAGTTTAACTCGTTATGAAAACTGAAGATTATTATACTCTTTGGGAGAAAAAAAAGTAACTCATCTGTGAGTATAACAAGGAAGTGGGGGAAACAAAAAAAGTGATCTCTGGGAATTAACATTGTAAGAAAATGGTAGGCTTCGGGAAAACATTTGAAAGTAACGCGAGGGCAAGTTCCGGTTACTCTTTCATGAGTCCTGCGGTGATGGCGACAACACTCGGCTCCTTGAGCTGCTCATACACGTAGTCTGGATACTGTTTGTGCTCTAATCCGGTGCAATCGGCGTTGAAGCAGTAGAGGCACTTTCCGTAGTTATCCACGATATAGTATCTTTTAGTGGGGGTTGAAACAAGTGGAAAAATAGCCTCAAACACCTTACACGACGAATCAAAACTGGTCTTCCATTGTGGATCGACATTGAATGGCACACGGCGAAACTGAAATGAAATCAATAACGTTTAATAGAGGAGAAAATCAATTTTAGAACTTACGCCAGCGATGCACTTCAATGACTCATTGATAGTAACCAACTTCCCATTATCAAGAATATGCTTGGTGACTTTTGCAAGGAAGGAACACTCGCTCATGGCGTTGTGAGCTTGTCCAACAAATGGAATGTCGTAGAAAGCAGACATCTTCTCGATGAAACTCTGAAAATTATGGCATTCTTAAGTTTTCCTCCTTTTCTAAGATCAAGCGGTGAACACAAGCGAATAACGATTATCAAGCTGTAAAATAAGGCCAACTAACCTGATGAACAGTGTCCTGTCTTTGTGCTAAACGCATATCTTCTCTATAGTGAAAACTAAGATTCACCCATTGGCGAAAAATGGCGGGAAGTGGCTGCTTGTTTAGGAGGAATTGATAATGGGCGCGTCGCCACACGTCCTGACGACTCTCACAAACAAAAGCGTAGCGTTTCTCTTGGAAGTTGTGCTCTTCGAGCCATGCAGTGAACTGGTCGTAGACCTCTGGGAATGTATCGGCCTTGTCGATGGTATCCTGATCGATACCTGTAAAAGTTGTACTTTGTGAAACTTCGAAAAGCAAAATTATGTACCTGTCAACTCGGCGCAAAAGTCAGTCAGCTTTGGATTGATAATTGGTTTTACGTACTTGTTGAATGACACATCCTCTCTCTAAAATTTATTGATTCACAAAATTCTATCTGAATATTAACTCACGATAATTTTTTCTCTTGTATTCAGCACAGCGACGCTGAATTGAATGATTTCCGAAGGGTAGTCATGGTTATCCTTCTCACACGTCGCTTCGAAATCCAAAATCAACAAGTTGTCGAAGGGACAGCGGTAATCAGATGACATGCTTCTTCTGAAAAAAATCGATTTTTCAAAATAGAAAAGATTTCGATAAAGATTAGAAAAGTGGCATAAAACGCCTTGTAATGCTAGTGATTGTGAAATCTTCTCGAAGAAGGTAAGAAAAAAGACAAACACAAACAACACAAAAAAGCACGCATTCAAAATGATGGAGACCGATTATCAAAAAAATCGACCAGAAATTGACTAAATAACAAGTCCTTCTTGCAAGTTCTTTCAAATCTTAAGATCAATAGGTTCTCGAAGGGGCAGCGGTAGTTGGCTGACATTATTTTCCTAAAAAAATCGATTTTTCGAAATAGAAGATATGTCGATGAATATTAGAAAAGAGACATAACATTGGTTTTTTTTAATTAAAAATGCGGATAAATACTCTACGCTCAAACGCTTTCTGGCAAAAAACAAAATCTAAAACATTACCAAAAAAAAATTCAAGGAAGGAACGCGAAAAGGCGAAAAAGGAAAAAATTATCGATCGGTGGTCAGCTAACTCCTTTGAGAAGGTGAAGAGAAGACACCGGAGCTGAGAACACCAAAAGATGGAAGACAAAATGCGGGAACTTCGGCCATGGAGAGCGCGTTATGTTCGCGCCGGCAATTACGGCGCATACACACCGACGACACATTGCGGACTATTGATTATGCGACCTCCTCTGCAGCAGTCGTCGACACTCGACTTCTTCCACTTGTTATTTATTCAATTTCTGGTCGATTTTTTTGATAATCGGTCTCCATCATTTTGAATGCGTGCTTTTTTGTGTTGTTTGTGTTTGTCTTTTTTCTTACCTTCTTCGAGGAGATTTCGCAATCACTATCATTACAAGGCCTATTTCTGATTTTTCGAGTTGTGTCTCCAGTGAAGACTTCCCTCCAACCGAAATGCGTGCTTTCTTGTTTTTTTACATACTATGTCTCCATATCCAAATCTCTTCGTGTCGTTTTTTTACTATTCAATATTGTCTGTGTTTTTCTTACGTAGAAAATTCTAGTTTTTTTCAGGTTAGCACCATGTCTGCAGGTTACAAATGTCCCTACGACAACTTGCTAATTTTGAATTTTGCCACGACTCGCGATGAGAACAATTACGACTACGCTTCAGAGATTATTCAGTTCAGCGTTATTGTTCTCAATACAAAAGAGAAAAAGATCGTGAGTTTACGCTTCAATATTAATCAAAATCAAAAGTTGGATTTCAGAGAGAGGATGTGAAGTTTGATAAGTTTGTGCGACCGATCATCAATCCCACGCTCAGTGATTACTGTACAAATCACACAGGTACGTTTTGTTCAACTTTTAATTTGGGAACATAAAACTTTTCAGGTATTTCTCAGAACACGGTTGATTCCGCGGAGCCCTTCCCAGTGGTCTTTGAAGAATTCAGCGCATGGCTCCAAGAGAATGATTTCCAAGAGACTCGCTACGCATTCGTCGTGTTCAGTCGTCGAGACTTGTGGTTCATCGCGCAGTATCAATTCCTGCTTGTCAAGCAGCCACTTCCTGCGATGTTCAAACAGTGGGTAGACATGAACGCAACTATGAAGAAGGCGCAGCAGGGGCAAGATTACCATAGACCAGAAGAGGTTAGTCAAGTTCCAAATCTTCAAATGAGATTTAAAAAATTAGGAAAAAATCAATATTTTCAGAACATCATCCAGGACATGTCCAACATTTACAACATACCGTACGAGGGAACCGCTCACAACGCTATGGACAATTGTCATTTTCTCGCAAAAATTACAAAAAGGGTTCTCGACGATGGAAATTTGGTGGTTGTCAACGAAAGGCTTCAATGCACATTCGGCGTAAGTATTTCTGGCGTGATGTTCGCAGTCATGACAATCGACTTCTTTCAGTATCGTGTAATGCCATTAACTGTTGATCCACAGTGGAAAACCATTTACCGTTCGGCGATGGAAGTGTTGCAACGAATTCTGCCATTAGCTGCTTTGCATATCCGGTGGTTTTTACCCGAAGATGATTATGGCGTGTGTCCCTATTGCAAACAGCCAGCCGATGTGTGCACCGGAATGGAGCACAAGCAGTATCCAACAAATGTGTACGAGCAGCTCAGGGAGCCGAGTGTGTTCGCCGTCACGGCAGGACTCGTGAAAGAGTAAGCAACTTATTCACTTCACTCTTTCCAACAGTTTTATGTCCTTCAGATACTAAATCATTACAGATTCTCAAGTTTTTCAAAGTTTGAGGAGTGGCTTAAAATTATTTGGAACACTATCGACTTTTTGTCGAATCGATTACTTTATTTTTCTGAATTCTGAGACTAGAAATTCATATCTTATTAATATTTTGGTTAAAATGTTTTTTTTTTCAAAGTGAATTTTTGCAGACCAGTCCAACAATCGGGCCACTTCCATCCAAATAGGTACAATGAAACGGGAGAATTTAAAGCGGCTGGCGTTCACGGAAAAGCCGTTTCGGTCGTCGACACATTTCACAACAGAGAGGGTCTCATCATGAAGAGTACTTCGCGTCCCGAAGACTACCGTCGAGAATTGACAGTGTTGCAAGCCATGAGACAGCGACCAGGCTTCCCAAATCTCTACGACTTTTTCACCGCTCCTGCACAACATGACGCTGTACAATATTGCTTGAGTGAGTGATTGGAAATAACCAGTTTTCTATCCTAAACAAAAAATCAATTTCTATTTTTTTCAGTCATGGACTACGAAGGAGATTGTCTCCATACCGTTTCTAAGCGCACAGAAGGAGGGATCTCCAACTTCAACCTGATGAGAATCGCCTTCAAACTGCTTTGGACATTGGAATCCCTTCACATGCACGGTTTTTGCCACCGAGACATGCACGCTGGCAATGTACTTATCCGACGCGAGTATGATGGGGTGAGTTATCGATTACGCTTTCAATTGTTTTATGAATATATTTTTTCAGATTGTTCGCATCAAACTAATCGACTTCGGCATGTCTCTCCCGCTGAACCCACCACCAATCCCAGAAACTAATCTGACGTCGTGGCACGCTAGCTTACAAGTGTGTCGGCACGAAGCTTACACCAGATTCGATGATTTAACTTCTGGTATTTTTGTTGCGATGTGGTCCATTGGTCTCAACCCGTTCGGCGATGAAAAGGATCAGTATCTCGCGAAAAAAGCTACCTTTGTGAGTGAAATTGAATGTATTCTTTCAATAATTACTGTTTTTTTTTCTCAGGATCAAGATCCATTCTTCCATTTAAACAGTAATCTGAAATGGTTGGCTCAATTGTATTCTGAAGTTGATTATCAAAGAACCGCAGGCTACTCGCACCATGATCTGTTTGAGATCTTCTACAGGTTCAACCCAGATTTCGAGCCAACAAGCCCAATCACTCACACCGTTACTGACAATCAGCTCATTATCGAATAGAACATTTTACAGACCTGATCCCATTATTACTTGAAATTATCCACAGCCTTTTTCAAATTTCTTTCCAGTTCACCCTGTTCAATTGTTCCTCTCTCCCAACAGCAAATGACTAGTTTGTTGTTTTCCTTCCACCCACATACCACCACCACACTCAAATGTTTCGTTTTAGCAATTTACCGTATCTTCCAGTGTTTCCCAATCTGTGTTTTAAATTTTCCCGCCCAGCGCCTTTCTCTGACAGTCCCAATACTTTTTTTAACGGAAGTTGGTTCTGTCCCAGTGATTTTAAACGCCCCGTCTCCCAGTGACATGTCTCTGTAACATTTCTCCCACTCAGAATTTGCCACTTTGTCCCAATTAACCCGAATACTTGTGTATTTCATATATTTTCCCCATCCACACCGATCTCAAGTTGTATACATTTTGTAAATGCATTTCATACCATGAATTGTTACGCGGATTAATTTTATTAGAACAATCAAGGAATAGTATTGATCTGAAACTTCAGAATTCGAATCAATCTTCATTCAGGCTGCCAACAAATAAAATTCGTGATGTCACAACCAAGAATCTTGAAATGAAAAATGAAGAATGACATGGCACCATCTGATTCTATTTCTAATCCGGTAGCACGATAAGAAAGAAGAACATTCAATATTTGAAACCCCTCTTTCTCTGGTTTTCTCTTTTTTATGTATTACTGTTTCTTTCTTCAGGCAATCGGTCTCTTCATTTTTTTTAGTCGAAACCTCCTGCTACTGCTCCAGTCCAGGGTGCTTTCATTCATAGTTTTCACATTTTCGGTCCTATTCATGTTTAAGAAGTCATCACTTATCAAAAATCGTTTTTGAAAATTCAAAGACAAACATTTGTTTCTTGAGCATGGGATTTTCTCTCTGTATTCGGTAGTTTTTCTCATATCGTCTTTTTTTGATATGCATCAAAAGTAGTCAAACTTACAGCTATGTGTGACCGAAATCAACTTTCGATCAAAAAATGTCAAAATGAAGCAACTGAAACGGATGGCCAAGTGGAGCCACCCAAGAACTATGTCTCTCACTATTCTCTGAATTCTTTTGAAAAAGGAATGCAACAGAATCAAGAGCTGTCAATTGGTCAACAACAAGGACGTGAGTAATTTTTTCCCATTGCTCAGATAAATTTTATCGCTTTTCCTCGTTTAGATTCGCTCAAAGCTTTTTCTCTGATTCAAAATTTTCCGTAGTCAAATCGCAAAACTCTGGTCCATCAATGCAGGCAATGGGTCAAGTGGAACACGTGATGGAGTATGTTTATGGTCAAAATATTTCAAGTCATTTGTATATGATTTTTCAGTTGAAGTAAAATCTCGTCCACAATTCGTTTTCGGAGGACAGCTGGCAGGATTATTTGTCGGGAAGCAATAATTTTCCAAAGGTTCTCCTGGATCTAGCAGAATCAACATCCATGGTTTCGGGAGCAGCGAAAATCAACAGCATTCAAACCACAAGAATTAGGCACTCTAACTCGTGTTGTCTGTTGTCTAATTGATGCTATCAACTTGTTGTCTAATTGATGCTATCAACTTGATACCTTTTATTTCCTACTTTTTTGGCCGAAAAAGAGCAGGCAACATTAAAGCTATTTAGAGTTCCGCGAAGTTTAAATATTGTACTTCTTACATATCCGTGTTCATTTGAGTTTCCATTCGTGAAGCTCAACTGAGAGATTTCAAATCTAACATCTTCAAACTTGCATAAAATGGTACGTGCATAAGAACTGCCACTCTCATAGAAAGGCCGCTATAATAGAAGGACCCTCTGGAGGTACATTGTAGCTATAGAAGAACCGGCCCTTCTAATACATGTGATGTGCTTTCGCGCGCAAGAAGAGGCGGAAACGACACGTGTCGGTTGCAAGTTCGCTCGCTCGCTAATCGTCTGTGTTGTGTGTCTTTATTAGTCGTTTAGAGGGTCCGCTCTTCTTTATCATTCCTCTCTTCTCGTACCACACAATTAGCGTGTTATTGATTTTTGTTAATCTCATTCTTTTCCGTTTTTCGCTCAACCCATTCCTTTTTGGTCTCTAGTTCTAAACTGATTTCTTATTTCAGCCTCAGGCTCCTGTACTCCCATCCGGTCCGTTTTCTGATCACCAGACTTCATTAGACACAATCGACATTTTCTGATCTCACCAAATTATTCTTCTGATCACCACACGCTCCTTCAACATCTCCAAATACTCTGAGGCGCTTCCAGATTCTGAAGCATTACTGTACGAATAACAATGAATGCGTAAGTTATCATAAATTTTTTTTAAACTATTATCCACAGAACGATGTGCCACTTCTCATTGTTTTGAAATAATTGTGAATAACTCCGTGAATAGCTTTGGATAAACAGCATGAGCAAAAACTATCGATTTTTTGAAAAATTAAGAAAAATCCACCGAATGATACTGTAGGTCAAGTATTCCAAAACTATGAGGGATGGCGTATTATAATGTGAAACATTATAGACATTTTTGTGAGGCTAATCACTTTATTTCTCTGACAATTGTGAGATTAGTAATGTGTGTCTGAATAATATTTCGAATAAAAATGATGTTGTTTTCAAATAAAATTTTGCAGAGCAAACCAACTATTTGGTCGATTCCTGCTAGATCGATACATTGAGACAGGACACTTTAGCGCAGCCGGCGTGCATGGAAGAGCTTTCTCTGTTCTAGACACAATATTTGATAGGAATGATCTAATCATGAAGTCAACGACAGATCCAGAAGTCTACCGCAGAGAATTGCCGGTTTTATATGCCATGCGAGGCTACCAAGGATTTCCAATGCTCTATGATCATTTCACAACTCCTCCTGAACACGGTGAAGTGCAATACTGTTTCGGTGAGTGATTGGAGGAATCCCGGTTGCAGACTTCTTTCCAAACGCAACACACATTTCTATGTTTTTTTTTTCAGTCACCCCTACGAAGGAGAGTGCATCGATGATATTGCTCAGCGCTCAGGAGAACGGTTCTCCCACACCAACCTCATGCGAATTGCCTTCAAACTGTTATGGGCGTTAGAAACGCTTCACCAGCAAGGTTTCTGCCACCGCGATGTTCATTGTGGAAATGTCCTTCTCCGGAGAGAGTTCGATGGAGTGAGTTATCGTTTGTAGTTTCGGTCGTTTTATGAACATGGTGTTTTTTTTCCAGATCGTGCGTCTCAAGATTATCGATTTCGCACTGTCTCTTCCTCTGAACCCACCACCCATGCCGGAACTTAACCTGACCTCGTGGCATGCAAGCCTTCCAGTGTGGTGGGGCGAAGCCTACACCAGATTCGACGACTTCACTTCGGCCATTTTCCTTTTGTTGTGGTTCGTTCCTGTCAACCCGTTCGGCGATGTACGTACTGAGTATCTTGTGAAAAAAGAAAAATTTGTGAGTGAAATGCTATGTATTCACTTAATAATTGCTGTTATCTAGGATGAGAATCCACACGTCTGGTTCAACGACGAAGTTGAATGGATCCCCAATCTGTACACTTCGATCCAACTGCAAAGAACGTCTGGCTACTCTCACACGGATCTTTTCAACGTTATGTACAAATTTGATCCAAACTTCGACCCAACTAGCCCGATCGCTTATCGTGTTGTGGACAATCAGCTCACTATCGAATAGCAACAAAGAGACTTTATCTCCTATTCATAATATCTTCGAATTCTTATGGCCATTTTTAAAAATGTTCACCTTTTCAATTTTTTTCTCATTCCCCACAACACATGCCTACTCCTCTTTTCCTTTCACCCACAAAACTCGAGCATTTTTTTATTCTTTTTAGAAGTTCTCTTGGTGTAGCCCATCCTGTGTTTCAAAACTTTCCAAAATAGCTTTTTTACTAAAATTTCCTCCCGATATAGTTTTTATGTCTAGCGTCCTTTTCCCGTGAATCCCAGCATTTTCTTCGGATAATTAGGCTTCAAGCCCTGAACGCGTCTCACCCCCGGAATCACTCATCCCCAAAATCATCTCGCCCTCTGAATTCCAGTTGCCTTAGAATGCCTTAGAATCAAAAACCACGTCCCAGTGAACTCAAACCACAAGAACTTTGAACATTTCCCCATCCCCAAATATCAATCTTCATAGTTTTAAAAAAACTTTTCTGTCAAATAAATGTTTACGGGGATTTATTTTTTGGAACAATTAAAAGCTAGAATTCGACTCGAACCTGATTAAGACTGTCGACAAATAAGTCATTGACCTCCCGACCAGGCATCTCAATCAAAAAATGGCTAATGTCACTACAAAGCATAGTTGCAAAATTTCGGGCCAGCCCGTCGAGAATATCGGCGGGCCGGGCCGGCCCGGGGTACGTACAGACGCTGATTTTTTTTTTGATTTTTTTCGAAAATTTTGAAATTTTTTCGAAAATTTTGAGAAAAAATACCTATTTTTCTGTGTTAGGCGGGCCGAGAAAAATCGTCAACCGGCCCGGTCAGGCCCGGCCTTTTGAAACTATGCTACATAGCACTGGGAAATGGATCGATATTGGCTACACCATATTCTGACTCGATAGCGAAAACATCAATATGTGGGCGGAGCTGGTCGTTCTACAATTTTCTGACTCCTGAAAACGCTTTTTTTATGAGAAAAGTTCAACATTCGCATCTGTCTGATTACTAAGGTTACAAGGGTAATTGAGATACTTAATTAAGAATGGAAAAGCTTTGACAGAATTTTGCATTAATAAGAAATTGAATGATTTCTTTAGAATTTAGAATTATTTATTTTCAAACGGTGTCATACGGTACATAAGAGAAACGCAGATTCCCTCACGAGTAGCGCCTACCAGGTAAAAAAATAATGGAAAATGAGATAATATACAGTAGAATGACATGTGTTAAAACGTAAAAAGTGTACCTAGCAGCGAGAAATAGATGAGTCAAGGAGATGTTCAAATTGGGACAGGGTAAGGAATTGGGGTACATTGTTATGGCATTCCAGAATGGGATGGAGGATACAAAAAACGCCGAGACTTCAGAGAGCAAATTTGATCATCAATGCGAGTTTCCACGATTTTCCAAGCGGCCCTGTTGTTGATCTGAAAAATAAGTTCAAGAAAACATATTAAAATGAGAAAATTGACAGGTTTTATTCAGAAAAGTAAAAAACTAACCGTGTTGCATATTACGCGCTGGGCGGCCAACTCTGCGTGGGCGTGGGACCATGTCTAAAAAACGAAATTATGAAACAAAGTATTGAGATCGGTAATTTCATTAAAAACGGCGAGACGTTCAATTTGAACTTGCTGCAAAAACATAATGGGGGTCACGCGTCAACCAACTGAACTACACGGGCACAAACATTGCGCATAACCACACGGGAACAAACAGCGAATAGACTTCAAGCCGATTTATCACGGTTTAATTGCAAGATTTCAAAAAATGGTCAACTGACAAGATATTTATCATAATGTCATCAGTATTTTTTCGGTTGGTCACTTTTAGATATCTTTTACGCAAACCGAGATAAGTTGGCTGAAAGTCAACAGTTCGGCAACATCCTGTTTGAGTGTGCATAGTAAGTGAGACGCGATTATTAACTCTGAACTTTTTGCTGTCCCACCTCTTGAAAATTATATATTACTTACTCATGGCCATTCCATTTCCCGGAACCATCTGATTTGGACCATGAACTGGGGGCGGAGGCTGGAAGACTAGCTGAAACTGCAGCTGTGGTTGGAACATTTGCGCCTCTGAAATTTTCCAAGTTTTAATTTTTTGAAGTATTATATTGTTTTTCTTACGTCCTTGAAAGAACTGGTGTGGTCCAAGATGGTGAGCCGGACCATGGAACTGTCCCATTGGAGGCGGGACAAGATTGTTTCCTGGAAACGCTTGATGCATCCGATGCGCTGAAAATGACAAAATTTTATGTTTGCAGGTTTGATAGCTCTTACGTGCAGGAATTGCCGATTGTGGTTTTCCAAACTGAATCATAATGGCTGGTGGAGGGATTATCATCATCCCTTGAATTATCGGATGTTGTGGCCCAATCATCGGCGGAGCAACTGCAATTTTTTCAATTGTAATGAGTGAGTTCCAACACTATAGGTGATTGTTCCTTACCTGGATTGTTTGGTTCCGGGATCATCTGAGGTCCAATCGGCTCAAACCACCCTCCTGCTCCCATCATTTCCTCCCTTTCTCCAAACTGTGGCTCCTGCACCACGAAAACATTTTGTTGGACCGGCGGTGGAGTCATTGGGCGTGGTGGCTGAACTTGGCGTGGAGTGCCAACCACCACCGCCACCGGGCGGATCCTCTTTGAAGTCTGATTGCTTGAAGAAGCCATGTTAGCTGAAACATTTGATTTTGGCAGAAAAAAACTAACTGTTCAACAATAAACAAACACGGTTGGAAATAAAAATTGGAAATAAGGTTGGAAAAAAGATTGTCACTGGTAGTACTTCATAAAATTGTTTATGTTTAACATAGCGAGATGTTGAAAAACTAATATGCAACAGGCCGGGCCAGGCTGAACCACCGGTCGCCCCGAGATTTTGCAAGTATCGTGAAAAAATAGTGTTGCATTCAGGAATCTTCGATAAATGAAAAATGTGGATTTGAAAAAAATACAAGCCCATAAAGCTTAAAATCCGACAAAAAACAAAAATAAGCTAGAAAAAATACCTTCGACTCCCTTTTTAACATCTTCGACGAAATCGAGATGAACTATATCAAAATTGATGAGTCAAAGTATATATGTTTTTTTACTGATAGTCTAGAACAAGTCAATTTGTCTCTGTTCTCCGAAGAAAACTGTGGGCGAAAGGTCCAAAACAGTGTGATCATGGGTTCTAAACTAAAGAGGAAACGAAATTAAAAAGTGCGCAAGAAAGGCGACAGGCGGCGCGTCGAGGTCCTCTGCGTAAGCAATGTACAGAGATTCTTGAAAGCGCAGTGCACATGAAGAAAATGACAAGCACAGGCGATGTTGAGAACGCAGAGAAGAAGTGAAAAAAATAATATTTCAACAGTGTCCTCCTATTTATCTAATGAGGGGAGGCGAATGTGGGAAAGAGGACAAAACCGAAAAGGAGGGTGATAGATAAAAAAGAAAAAATTGATTAGGGTTGAAATTTCTGGGATGAAATACATTGACACGGGATAACTCCTATGACAAATGGGTGAGTCAGTAACAGAGCAATGCCGATTTCGAAAAAGAGAGTACAAATTAAAAGGGATGAATTATGAAGATGAATGTAATGCAACGTTTTTTCACTATAGAAATTGAGAACCTTTCTCTCCTAAAAAAAGGGCACATTATACTTAATGGGAGAAGAGAGAAAAGGTGAAAATAGGAGGTAACAGTAATGTATGTTGAAAAATGAAATGTCGGTGATTTTGAGAAAAAAGAGAGGAAGATGAAAAAAAAACGTTAGCTCGACTAATTGGTCACAGGGTGTGAGAAAAAGGACATCGTGACTAATAACAACAATTTTATCAAAAAGTGAAAAAGGATAAAGTGAAATGAGAGCTGTGGGCTCACCTGAGCAAGAGAGAAAAGAGAAATGTATGATGATACTTTACGAGAATGTATTAGGTTGGCTAATAAGTTTCTTTCGATTTTGGTAAAATATTTCATCATTTTTTTCTCTGAAGCATTGATAATTGTCTGCAAACGCTCCGGTAATCCAGCCAAACGACATGAATTTTTGGATAATGCATCTAGTCACGGGCGATCTCGCACTGTCGTGCTGGAAGTAAACCTTGGTCTATTCTCCTTGTTCGGTTTCGACTGCCAGATTCAATTTCTCTGATTAGGAACTATACAAAGCGGCAATTCTAGTGCTATCTTCATCAAGAAGTTGCCAGTCTCCATTCCTTTGAAAGATCACCAAATACACAACAACCCCCTTTTCAAGCGAAATTTAGGTTTCGAGACGTCCAGAAACGTCTCTTCTTTGTCACTCGACTGACCCTTCCGCACAATGTTAGAATAACTTATCGGTTACGGTATGGGCTTGAGTGATGGAGCTATGCGGTCGTTGTGGGTTTTTATTTTGGGTTGGTGGCGTAAATGCCTCTTAGAAGACGGAGCACGAGTTGTGTGGGGCGTTTGATTATCTCAAATTTTTACAAAAAAAGTCAAATCACTTATTATAAACATGATAAAAAACTAGGGAAGGAGTGACGACAATTGCAAAAAGATCAACTAAATGAGCGTTTTTGTTTGACATGGAACTTAAGAAATATATTGTCAGGGCACTGAGGAAAAAGCTAAACGAAAAGATCGATATTGGGAATCGGTATGGGTGGTCATCTGAGTCAGCACCTTCATTGCTGGTAATAGTACATAAGCACAGAAGAAGACAGATACTCAAATCATGCGAAAAAAAAGGCGACAACAACGTGATGACAAATTCTGCCGTTCTCCAAAAGGCCGTCACTGTCTGGCGGCGCTGAGTGGAGGGAAAAAAGGGGGCAGGCGTTTGAACCAACAGACTTTTCAATAGAGAACTAGAAAATGGTAGACAACAACGACGGTTGATACATCGAGTACTGGTGGGCAACTAAAAAAATAAGAATACTGTGGACCGGATGCTTCAAGCCGGGCACCCCATTTCTATCGTTTATGATTATTTTTGGCAACTTTACTGGAATTTCATGATAGAACAGAGAGCGGGCCATCACTGGTAGATCGAAATACTAAACTTGAGTGATGGAGCTAGATACAGTAGTCAGTCCTTGTAGGTGAGGTTGGTAGATAATGCCGATAAGTATTAGAAGACGAAAAATGCGCCGTGCAAGGTTCTCAGTAATAAATATCACAGAAAAAAACGAATATTTTTTATTTTGAACGATTAAAAAACAGAAGAGAGTCATCAGCAAATTGTAAAGAAAAAAAACATATGCAACCGTTGTCACCAAAAACATTTTGCCATAGAACTCAGTCAGAAAATAGTGGAGACGGTGGGCGGTATGAAATTGCATATGACCGAAAAAAGATAGACGGAGAGGGTCGATAGAGGGGATTCGATGGAAGAAGTGGACAACAGTAAAAAGTAAATGAGAACACAGGGGCTCGAATTAATAGAAAAAAGGAGATTTTGCGGTCAACCATTAGAGGTACAGAATCAATTGGGGAGTCAAGGTAGGTGTAGAATGTTAGATAAGAACAATTCATAGCAAGATAATTTAGTAGTTTTCGGTCAGTCGATAGTTCATTGACGATAGCGGGTCGATTCCCGGGACAGCAGTTTCAGGCATTTGGAATAAGGCAATGTAGTTGACTCTACAGCTCCTTTGCTTTTGGATTTGGGCGTATAGCTCGGCAATCCATATAATGTCGTCTTCGAACCAGACATTTGGATTCTCATCCTTAAAAAGATCTCTTACTAGGGAAGGTTGTAACTGGGGTATGGGATTTTATATGAGGCCTATATCATTCGAAAGCTGAGAATAAGACATTTTCAAATATATATTCAGATTTTGCTGCGGACATTCCAGCTCCGAGAAAATCGAATTTGAAATTTGGCTGAAATTCGAATATTTTGAGGGCCAGATCTCCCCCCTTTCTTATATGCATTGTGGAACTAGTCGAAAGCAGCGACTGGTGGTGTAGCGGTGAAGAGGGAGGACGGTAACTGACTAGGGTTGGGTTCGATTTCTCTCTCCTTTGTTTGTTTTTGTTTTTGTTTTCGGTCTTTGTGGAAATCTTCAAAATGTTCTGAACACATTTTTCAAAAAAAAATTTTATTTTGAGGTTGTAGTTTGTTGGGACATGATTTAGATTTCTGAAAAATAAAGAATTTTTGGAAAAAATTTGGACCAAAAAATAAGAGTTTTTTCTGGATTTCTCACTATGTTCTTCAATGCAGATGAACGTGAGAACTCAAAAAAAGGCGGGAACGCTAATAAACGGAGAACACATTGTTTCTGGTAATAGTGCATATGCACACATACATAGTCAAATCATGTGAAAAAAAAGAAGGAAGAACGAGAGGGACGACAACGCCATGACTTATTGTCCATTCCCCAACAGGCCGTCCCTGTCTGGCATAGCTGATGGGAGGAAAAGGAACTAGACAAGCGTGTGAAGCAACATATTTTTCGACAGAGAACTCGAGAAATGGTAGACAGTTCGATCAAGTTAACGGGGGGTATATAAGCACATTGATGGTCAACTAATAGGCTACTCAATAAGATAAGAGAAAGAAATGGAAAAAAGTAAACAGGGAGGTCGATATGTGGTTGGTACTGGTGGTCATCCGGATCGGCGATTTCATTGCTTACATTTAACATTATTTTTAAGACAAAAATGACTGAAGCGAGATCAAAGTCAGTGCAGGTCAGCAAGGGAGTGAGGTGGTGGCCGAGTTTATCAAAAAAATAAAATGGTGCAGTGAAACTACATAGTCAGTTGACTTGAGTAAGTCTATCAAATCTATTGTTTCGTGCTATAAGAAGAAGCGAACAAATTATCTGGTCTTCTAGTATCCGGAGCTTATGTTAGATGATATCAGTCGATCATATATCGCCAGACATTCCTGTCACGGTTGTAAATTTAAATAACACTTTTCTGATCCTCTATGTAAGCAAAATTGGAGAATGTCCGTGATATAAGAAAAGAGATGAGTGTTAAAAAAGGACCAGAAAAAAATAGGCTAAAGGCTTCAAACAAAAAAAGGATAGACATGTGTCAAGGGAAAGAAAGAAAAAGGACAGTTGAAGTTGGTCCACACAGTCTAATGTCTAGAAGGATAAATTCGTAACACTTTAGCCGGTGAAAATGGGTAGAGATACTGTGGGACGCTTGGGAAACGACTGAATCAAAACATATGGAGTCAATTGAAAAAAAAAGAATTTAAAAAAAAGACTGGTGGTGTTTGAAAATGGAGAAGGGATATAAAATTAGGAAGGGGGACAGGAAAGTTTTCTCTTTTTTACACGCGATATGTCACGCTATACTTGCACTTCGAGCTCAATTATCAGGATTTTTTGAAATTGTGCAATCCTGAATTGATAATGTTGTGATCTGACAAATATTGAAGACACCAATCTCAAATTGTTTCATTTTTCAGACCTTCTTCGATTGTGCTATTTTCTGAATGTACACTTCGGTCTCCATTATCTCCAAAATCGACTTTTGAGATCTATAAGATAATTTTCTTAATAACGCTGGTCTTGAGCTCTTGCATCGGCCTAATAATTGAGCTTGAAGTTCAAGTATAGTGTGACATGTCGTCTCTAAAAATATAAAACTTTCCTGTCCTTCCTTCCCTAATTTTATCTCACTTCTCCATTTTCAAAAACCACCATTCTTCTCAAAAGTGATAACATTCTCCATTGTCCAGCTATATTTTGATTCAGCTGTCGACCAAACCATCCAAACGAAATTTTTAATCTTCTCCACGACGTCTCTCGAAATTAGACTGTCGGGCCAAACTCGACTGTCCTTTCGCCTCTGCTTCCCTCCTAACACATGTCTGTCTCTTTTTCTCATTTGAATCCTTTAGCCTACCTTTCTATCTGGTTCCTTTTCATTTCCGATATCTTTTTCAACCATACGAACATTCTCGAAACCAACGATTCAAATATTGTCTTCATAGACGAGCAGAAAAGTGTTAGTTGAATTTTCGGCATCGACATGAACGTTTTACAATTTAGCGGTTTACAATCGACTGATAGCATTTAAGCCCCGATTTCTAGAAAATCAATAATTTTGTTTCGTTTTTTTGGTAGCCTGAAACATTAGATATCAAGAGTTAATCAAGTCCACTGCTCACAACCACTGAGCATTTAGGTTCACAATACAATCTCAGTTTTTCGTTAAACTTGACGACCACACCCTATTCCATTGCTGTTCGGCACTGACTGCGATCCTGCTTCAGTCATTTTTGGCGAAAAAGAATGTTGAATGTGATCAATAAAGGTGCCGACCCGGACGAACACCCATACCGACCACCTACAGCATTCTTTCTGTTTCAACTCTTCTCATTCTTTCTGTTTCAACTCGCTGCATTCTTTCTGTTTCAACTCGTTGCACTTCTGTACCAACCGTAGTCTTGCTTTTGCTGTCCACATTTTTTTTTCTTGTTCCCTGTCGAAAATTATGTTGGTTCAAACGCCCGCCCCTTCTTTTCCCTCCACTCAGCGACGCCAGACAGTGTTGGCCTGTTGAAGAACGGTCAAAGCTTTTTTTCCGTTTCCTTTCCTCTTTTTTTCTTATGATTTGACTATCTGTCGCTTTCTGTGCTTATGCACTCTTACCAGACACAATGTGTTCTCAGTCGCCCCTGTTTTTTGTGTATGAATATAGAGAAGGCGCTTTGTTTTGTGACAATTTTTTACAAGTCATCTAGCTTGCAATTTTATTTAGAGATGCGGCAAATGTTCTCCTTTTCTCAATTTCTGTTTAAAATGAATTTTTTCAGATATCCAATAATGGCCCACATTAACGACCAAGAAACCATTAACGCCCAAGAAGAGTAAGTTGATCCGGTCATTAATTTTGAAAATTATTATTTCAGACAAAACCGACTGCTCACTCGATATGAGCCAGGTCGTTTTGTAGAGACAGCGGGTTTCAGAGAAGCCGGAGCATTTGGTCTCACTGTTTCTGCACACGACTCCCATACCAAATCCGGAGTCGTTATCAAGTATCAGAAAAGTTTGTTCGCGTTCAAACGGGAATTTGAAGTTTTCCGAAGAATGAGAGGAGATCTTCATTTTCCTAATTTGATTGAGTATTATGGCAAAGTGGACCCTACACATGGCATGCTTTACTGTCTTGGTGAGTTGGTCACGGTTAGGATTTAATTTTGAGCCAGTAATTTTTGTGATTGAAAATAAATGTGTGTTTTTTTCAGCTATGACCAATGAAGGCGTATCAATTCACAACCTCACACGCGGAACAGCCACCCGTTGGTCGAATGGGAACTGTGTCCGACTGATGCATCAACTTGTGAAAGCTGTCGAGGCACTCCACAACGTGGGCTATTGTCATCGAGACATTCATCCCGGAAATGTTTTGCTCAAGCGGGAATCTGGTGGAGTGAGTTGTTCTCTATCTCTGACCAGATTTTCATTAAGACCAATTTTCAGCTTCTCACAGTCAAACTTATTGATTTCGGAGTAGCAGAAAACCTCTATCCACCGCCCCATCCGGCTTATGATTGGTCTTCGTGGCAGGCTAGTTTACAAATTTGCCAGGGAATGCCATACACCTGCTTCGACGATTTAACCTCCGCAGTTTTCATACTGTTCAAGGTTATCAACATAGATCCATTCGGAGCCAGAAGACACTGGAAGGAGAATAAGGAATTATTCGTGAGTTAAAAATACATTTTTTATCCAGCTAAAATTACGTATTCAGGACCAGAATCCACTTTCCTGGTTCGAAGAAGACACTATGTGGATCGCCGAGATTTATGGCGAAATTCAAAAGCAAAGGAGCCATGGAGTCGACTACTCGGGTCTGTTCAGAATGCTTGGAATTTCTGTTCCGGGAATCCCCCCACTTTCGCCAATGGAATATGAAATGACTGGAAATCAAATTTCAATCTTGTAATCGTGTTTCTGGCAGTTTATATCCACCTTGATTCCTCAATTCGATTCTGCTTCTTACCGGTACAAATTTTCCGTTTCTTCTTGTTTATTTAAACTCCATGTGCTCCCATTTCCTTTTTACTAATATTCACCTTTTTCCAACAACCACCCAAATTGACCTCCTCTTTATTTCTTCATTTTTCGTCATTTATTTTTGTACCGCCCATTGTCTTTCTGTTCTATTCTAGAATGTTTCTTGGTGTGAACGGTTGCATACGTATTCTTTCGATACAGTTTGTTGATGACTCTCTCCTAGTTTTTATTCTTTTAAAATGAAAAATATTAATTATTCCGTGGTATTTGTTACTGGTTACCTTACACAGCGTATTCTTCGTCTTCTAATACTTATCCGCATTATCTACCAACCTCACCTACAAGGACTGACTACTGTATATAGCTCCATCACTAAAGTTTAGTATTCCGATCTACCAGTGATGACTCGCTCTCTGTTCTATCATGCTTCAATTTTAGGAAAATTTGCCGAAGGGCACGTTAATCGCGACCAACAAAGTGGTCAACCCAGGATAGCCACTCATACCAACCACACATATCAAGCTCCCTATCCACACTTTTCTTTTTTTTTTTTAGTTGGCCTTTCAGTATTCGATGTAACAACCGCCGTTGTTGTCTACCATTTCCTACTTCTCTGTCGAAAAGTCTGTTGGTTCAAACGCCTGCCCACTCTTTTCCCTCCACTCAGCGACGCGCAGACAGTGACGGCCTGTTGAGGAACGACAGAATTTGTTATTTGGTCGTCGTCACTCTTTCCCTATTTTTTAATTGTTTCTAATAAGTGATTTGACTTCTTTGTAGAGATGTAATATAATCAAACGCCCCACACAACTCGTGCTCCGTCATCTAAGAGGCATTTACGCCACCAACCCAAAATAAAAACCCACAACGACCGCATAGCTCCATCACTCGAGTCCATTCTTAGATTAGTTACTCACGTTTTGTCGCTTTGCTGAAAAAGATCTATACTTATAAATTGTCACTATCACAATTCCCTTATCTTCCAATCTCAAACTAAGAAAAACACCTCCTCTTGCTCATCCACTGCTAACATTCCACTTTATCTTTTTTCTCACTTCTTGATGAAGTTGTTATGATGAGTCAGGGAGAACTTATACATTACCTCACACCCTTTGACTAATTGGTCGAGTTAACTTTATTTTTCCTTTTTTTCCCGAAATCAGCAACATTTTATTTTTCATGATACACTATTGTTTCATTTTATGCGCACCTTTTCTCTCTTCTCCCATTAAGTATAATGTGCCCTTTTTTTTTAGGAGAGGAAGGCTATATTGACAAAGTTGTATCACCCTCACCTTCATAATTTATCCTTTTTAGTTTGTACTCTCTTTTTCGAAATCGTCATTGCCCTGTTACTGACTCGCCCATTTGTCATAGGTGTTATCACGCGTCAATGTATTTAATCCCAGCATTTTCAACCCTAATCTAAATTTCAAAACAGAGCCAATTTTAGGAAATATTATCAGTAACAATCTTATATTCCCATTTACAACCGTTTTCTTAAATTGCTGAATAGTTAGTTTTTTCGCCGAAATCAAATGTTACTTTTTCTTGTTTCTAATTATCGATTTGAATTTTTTTGCACAAATTTAATATAATCAAACGCCCCACACAATTCGTGGTCCGTCATCCAAGAGGCACCCACGCCACCAACCAAAAAAAACCCAAAACAGCTGAACAGCTCCACTCAAGCTCATTTTTAGATTAGTTCCCCAAGTTTCGTCAATTTTCCGAGAAACGCGTGAAACCTGAAGAATGAGGTAAATACTCGTAATTTCTTGTCATCATCCGAAGTCTCTCTTCTTCCAAACCGATGTGCCTACCCCCACCGTCTTGCTCACCTATTACTCTCATTTCACTTTATCCTTTTTGATAAATTTATTTTGATTAGTCACCATATACTCTTTCGCACATTCTGTGACTAATTAGTCGAGTTAACTTCTTCTTTTTCTCTCAACATCACCAGAATTTTATTCTCCAAAATACATTATTTTTTCATACTATGCCCACCTCTCCCCTCTTCTCCCATTAAGAATAATGTACATTATTCTTTCTAGAAAGAGAGAGGTTTCATATTGGAAAAAAGTTGAATCACCCTCACCTCCATCATTTATCCTCATCTTTGGGCTCGCGTTTTTTTGAGTCGTTATTGCTCTGTTACTGTCTCACCCATTGGTTATAGGAGTTATCCTGTATCAATGTATTTCATCCCACCCTCAATAATTTTCGACTTGCCCATTTTTTACTATCCTCTTTTTCTGTTTCTTATATACCGCCTTCTACATTCTTCGAATCAAAGTTACTAGCTTCATGTAATGAGAACCATAATATGCGTGTGTGTATGTGTAGCTAGTTTGAAAAACAGACTAGCGTTCAGGCCAGCAGAAGTTTGTTCCTCTATTGACCTGAACTCTTTCGATTTGTTCATTTTTGATGTTAGAGACCAACCAGTCCCACTTCCCTTTACTACCACATTTTTTTCGAACCGCCAATCGTTCGTCTTTGCCGTCATGTTTCTCATTTGCACTGCGCTTTCAAAAATCTCTGTACACCGCTTACACGAAGGACCCCAACGCGTTGACTGTCGCCTTTCTTGCGCCTTTTCCACCTTCTTTTCTTCTTCTGTTTAAAACCCGTGACCACACTGTTTCGGCACTCTCGTCCTATCCATAGGTACAAGTACAACCCCGACGAAGAAATTTGCTTAGTTAACAACTTGTGTTACATGTATATTTCACAATCCTAGCATCTTTTTACATGTTTTTTATTTTTATCACATCGATAAGTTTTGAATTCTCCGTTATTTTATCATCAAGTTTTTTTATTGCCAAAACAAGTCAAATGATTCAGCTAAGATTGCAACTTCTCACATGATGGCTTCTACAAGCACACAGCCTCCAAAAAGGATTCGCCCAGTGGCGGTGGTTATTGGCACTCCACGCCAAGTTGAGCCACCGCATCCGATGATTCCACCACCGCTCCAACCAAACTTTTTTGTTGTTCAGGACATGAGGCCACAGTTGGGAGAGAGGGAGGAAATTATGAGAGCGGGTGGTAGGTTCGAGCCGATTGGTCCTCCAATGTTCCCGGAACCGGAAGTTCAAAGTAAGAAACAATAAACTATAAATTTTTGAAAATCACTACAAATTAAAACATTGCAGTGGCTCCGCCGATGGTTGAGCCACAACCTCCGATAATCCAAGGTCTAATGATAATCCCACCACCAGCCATTGTCATCCAGTTCGGACCGGCACCGCCGGCTTTCCCTGCTCGTGAGAGATTTCGAACCCTTATACATAACGTTTTTGTCACTTTCAGCGCATCTGAACATCCCGCATCCGATGCACCAGGCTCCTCAGCTGGGACAGTTTCAAGGTCCGCTCTTCCGTCATCACCATCCTGGATCACATCAAGGGTTTCAAGGGCGTAAGAAAAACAAAACAGTGTTTTAAAAAATTAGAAAATACAAATATCAGAGGCGCCTATGTTCCAGCCGGGATTCGCGGAAGTATTCCAGCCCCCACTTCCATTCAATGGTCCAAATCAAATGGATCCGGAAAACGGAGTGGCCATGAGTAAGTAGTTTGAAGTTTTATGTGCGAAGAAGTGGGACAGAAAAAAGTTTAGATAAATATCGCGTCACACTTACCGTACACACTCTGTAACCTTTGAGCCAATTTATCTCAGTTGAGATAAGAAATATCTAAGAGTGGTCAACTGGTAAAATACCCTTGACGTATGATAAATGTTTTGTCAGTTTACTAATTTTTGATATCTTTCCTAGACACCGAGATAAGTTGGCTGAAATTTGAAAGAATAGTTATGCAATGTAGGCCATTGGCTGCATAGTTCGTGACCGTGTAGCTCAACCGGCTGACGGCTAGTTCAATTTGAAAGTCCCATCATTTTCAAGAAAATCATGAATCTCCATAATTTATTTCATACCTCAAGTTTTCAGACATGGTCCTACGTCCACGAAGAGTTGGCCGCCCAATGCGCAATATGCAGCAAGTTTAGTTTTTCACTTTTTTGAATAACAACTGTAATTTTTCTCATTAAACTAATTTTTCTCTAACATTTTTCAGATCAGTGACAAGATCGCAACGGAAATCGTCGACGCTGGCAATGATGAGCAAATTTGCTCTCCGATTTTGGTTCTATGTGTCTAATAAATATGAAACTCGAAAAACCGATTTTTTCAAATTCAAAATTCTGTCAATGTTTTGATCCACTCAGAACGGAGTACAATATCTTTCTTATTCCTGTAACCTCAACCCGTCCATCGAAAATTTTAATTTCTTCTAATTCAATAAAAACCGCGTCTTGGAAAATTCCAGAAAAACAAGCTACGCCCACATTTTCCTATTTTTTATCGCACCTAAGTAGTGCAATTTTTCATCTTTCATTCCGTGATGCCTGGTCGTAAGGTCACGATTTATTCGTCGACATCCTGAATCAAGACAGAGTCAGATTCTAAAGTTTGAACTCAATTCTAGTCTTTGATCGTTCCAACAAAACATTCAATATCCCCATAAAAATTCATGTATATAAGAAGACTTTTTGAAAAAAAAAAAGAAAACTTGCATGGTTGGGTAGGGGAAATTTTCAAAATACACTTAAATTCAAAGTCACTCGGACGAGGATTTTGGTTGACAAAACAAAAAACTGGAACTCGGAGGGCAAGATGAGAGTGAGATGATTCCGGGGATAAGTGACACGTTCAAGGCTTAAAGCCTAGTTCTCAACACAACGACCGGATTATGAGGGCAAGGCGCTAGGCGCAAAAACATAACAGGATCTAATATGAGCTGGGAGGGAATCTTGAAATTTGGATACACAGTGGGTGACACGGGAGGAAACTTTACAGACCAAGAGCATATAAAGCGAAGGGAAGGAAAATATCAGACGAGGCGTTTGTTTTGAAGCAAGGAAAAAAAAGAATGAGCGGGCAGAGAATCGCAAAAGGGTCATGTAAAATTTAACGCATTTATGAATGTACCTGGATGTAATGATCAGTAAGGGTAATTTAACATTTGGATATACAGTGGTTGACACGGGAGGAAACTCTACAGACCAAGAACATATAAAGAGAAAGAAGCGTGTGGGTGGAAAAAAAAATAGCACATTGAGCATTTGGCTAAGGGCAAAAACTTATCGAAGAACAGGAAAAAGCTCAGAAGGATCATGTAGAAATTAAAGCAATTATGAATAGGTCATTGGAACATTCTAGTCAATAATCAGCGCATCATTCTCAACACGGTAACTGATCGGACTAGTTGGGTCGAATCCAGGGTTGAATTTGTAGAAAATATCGAAAATATCAGTGTGTGAGTAGCCGGTGGTTCTTTGAAGATTAACTTCGGAATACAGTCAATCTTTCCCTTTAGACACTTCTAGTCTCTACAAGCACTCTCCAATACATTCTCATAATTTGTTGTCAAGGTCCAAGAGAGACATCACCTTTCGATATCTCCAAATTTGCTCCTCGGAAGGTCAATCATCCCATCTGTACCTCCAATCCCAGCTACTCTCTTTACATAAATTACCCTACTTACTAGGGAAGGTTGTAACTGGGGTATGGGAATTCGATAAGAGACCTATATCATTCGAAAGCTGAGAATGAGAAATTTTCAAATCTATATTCAGATTTTGCTGCGGGCTCACCAGTTTCGAGAAAAACAAGTTTGAAATTTGGCTCAAATTTCTTTTTCAAATGCTCTCAATTTCTCCATATGCTTCGCATCCGTAACCCACCGAAAACGAGAAACCGGAAACATTTTGAGATATTTTTCCCGGAAAAAAATTCAGAAATTAGCGCTGCAGAATTAAAATAAATCTTCAAAAAAATTTAAAAAACTTATACAACATTTTCAGACTTCCAGAGGGATCAGAAAAAAACACAAAAAATTATTGGGGGGAGGAGGGGTCGAACCTATGGCTTGTCAGATATTGCCCTTCCCTCCTCGCCACTACACCACATTTCGCTGGTTTCCTCCCTTCTCCCAATGCGTATAAGAAAGAGGGAAGATGAGGCGCTCGGCGGACTCAAATTTGAGCCAAATTTCAAACCTGTATTTCTCGAAACTGGTGAGCCCGCAGCAAAATCTGAATATAGATTTGAAAATGTCTCATTCTCAGCTTTCGAATGATATAGGTCTCTTAACGAATTCTCATACCCCAGTTACAACCTTCCCTAGTTATGTGTCTCTTCACATCATATATTACCGTTTAATAACTTTTTGTCGAGGTCACTGAGAGAGGAGGACCCTCCTTCTCACCCGTTCTCTGTTCCCCACCCCACCTGGCCTCCCCGCCCCTCCGACCTCGATTCTTCTCTGCGTCACTTCTTCCTCCTTCATACTCTGGTTGTCTGCCGGTTAGAGCAGGCGTTCCTGTGCGTTGGGGAGAATATATGTCAGTTTTGTTTTGGCCGCCTGACTGAATGATGGCCTGAATATTCCGGGGGACTTTCTATTGATTTCTGCAAATGAATTGATTTGGAAAGTTCCCCTTATTTTTCTAAAAATTCTTCTCATTCTCTATTATTCGGTTCTTTCCATAAATCCTTCTGCATGGATTTCGGAAAGTTCCTTATTGATTTTTCTGAAAAGTCTTTATTCTTCTAGTCGATCCAAAAGGTAAGTATTACTTTTAAAACAAAAATGCTGTTTGAAATTCAAAACAGTGTAACCCGAATACGGTACATTGCTCAAAAGTGAATTCAGTTAGGGCCCAATTCAAACTAGTGTGTTATCAGATTTCTGCATTTTCACGATAAGGCTTCTATTGAATCCATCTTTTGAAATCTGGCCGACCGCCAACCGATCTATCGATCGGCACATCCACATGCCAGAGAGTGTTTGCGTACTCACTAGGGAATAATCAGAATTTATCTCGCGACCGGGAGATAAAAACAAATCCACTGAAAAGAAGGTTGCTCCCTGATTCCAGAACAGTTTTCAAATTTTGTTAAATGGCCCGTTGAGCCGAGATATTTGTTTTCAAAAATCAAGCGATAAACCATGTAAATCTCGCTTTTGACTTTTTGACTTTCTGCTTCCCTTCCCTATTTTCCTCCCTCAAACACCTTATTCTTATCCGTCACCAATGGCAACTACAAAATGTTGTTCGGTGGCCGAGTGGTGTGTGTGCTCGCCTAGGAATCTGCTTCTGCGGGTTCGAACCCGCCTTCTTGTAAACGTTCTGTTTTTGTGTTATTTGATCATAGAATGCTTTTTTAATACTTTCAATCATGGCTTTTTAGCATCCTGTATCCGTAGGAAGCCACCCTGACGTTTT